AATATCCGAGAATGCAGGGCATGACACCGGAAATCTCCAAAAACTTCATCCACCATGCTAGACTGCTCAGGCTGTGCCTGATGAAGACGCATCTCTTCGCCTCATTTGCTGGCATCAGACTCCGCATCTGCGAGCGGTGATAGGCAGCGGACATCTTACACAGTGACTACGGCGGCTAAGGGCATCAGCCTGACGAGGAAGCGTGACTGAGGTGTGGAGTCTGCAAGCGCTTCAGCTTTGCACATGTCACCACACTCTTTGCTGCCCGGAGAGCTGACATGCTGCAGGTCAATGTAGGTCGCCTTTGCCTTGACCGGTGTCCGCTCGAAATACTTACCTGCACCACGGAGGATGCCGCAGCTCCGGGTTCCATGAATCTTGGCACCAAGAGACAGCTCTTTTGCTGTGTCGATTGGAGTTGCAGTAAGTAGAAAGACTCAGTAAGAAAGACATAGGCTTGAAGCCCTGAAAGTCGCCTAGGCCAGCAGCCTCCAGCATTGCCCGGCCTCTCTCACGAGTGCACATGCTCATCTTATCTCGAAACGTGGGTTGACGTGGGGTTTATCCGGGCGCATAATGCGAAATCTATTGAGCCCCCACAACTTCCCACAAAAGCTTCATCCGCCTGTGTACAAGTATCGTGTCCCCTGCCCGACACGCACCGTATACATGATGCACGCTCCAGCTGAGTTTGCTGCTCTTGTCCTCGTCCTTGATGGAGGGGACAAGCCGAACTGTCTGGAACTCGGTTGGAACCTCACAAGCAGCACAAGGACGGCAAGTACAGTTGGCAAACCTCGGAAACCGCTCACCCCATCTCCAGCCCTGAACTTCCAACCCCAGCCGAACATGAACGCCAAGCTGCCGCTATGCCAAAGCCCCAGACTCCTATGAAACCTGTCCAAGCTAGGCGCACGAGTCCTGGGTGCCCCTCTGCCCCAGTTGCCCTCGGAATCACCGGTGCCTGGGCTGGTAAGAAATGGTGAGCTGCAATGAGTATAGAAACGGGCTCCCGCCACTTGGATTTCACTTCAAAGGAAGAGATCCGTTTTGAAGGCCACCGGATCTGAGACCTTGCACCGACCGGAGCCCAAAAGTGCACTGCACCGAGTACTCCACGAAGGCCCTGAATGCGTTTTGAAGCTTTATCTTGGTGCAGCTAGGGCCGCTCCAGGTGCCCTCCAGGACCATCGCGGCTTCAGTGCCCTCCTTGTTGTCGGGCCTGGCTTGCTTCTGAGCAGGTCATCATCTCCAGTGAGCAGGGAGGCCCTGGCAGTGTGAACGTCTGCAGCAGTTGGTACGTTCCACCCGTGGGTGTTCCGGAGACCTCTGGCAAGGCAAGCCAGCTTTGCTGAACAAAATCAAACGGATCACCGATGCAAGCCAAGAGTCTCTGTTGTACGAGCCAGTGAACCTGCTCTCCGTGGTCATCCGCTGATAGGGAGAACAAAACCCTAGATTGGCTTTGGCCCTGAACATCTCTAACCAGAAGTATCAAAGCATCCATTTGGCCCAGATGCTGCACCGGCGCAGCAGGCAAAGCCTTGGGCCAAATGGACCAAGTTACAAGTGCCGCGCTTTGAAGGGTCTGGCGAGTTGCTGTGAAGGAAACGAACTTCAGAGTCCTCAGTCGGAATCAGTCATGGCATGCCTCAGTCTGACTGCGAGGAATTGCGTTCGGCATTTGCACTGCCGAGACTCATTGGCGGTTCATCTCCGCCTCCCTTCCGTTTCTGAAAGGCACGACCACCCAGAGTACCTGGTTGCATGCCCCTTTTGGCTCCGCTGCCCAATCTTCGCAGGTTCCGGGGGAAGTCTGGTCAATTTGATGCCGTAACGGCTGGCAAGTATGGAACATCACAGGATCGTCTCGAATCGTCTGTGCAACTTCCGATACGACACCAACAACTGGTGAGACTAGATCGAAATCCTGCTCAAGCCGGCTTCAGCATTCATCACCAAGCGCGCGAAGCGAAAGAGGCATCCGCCGGTCAGAACATCAGAATATCCTCATCCAAGGCGCTCCACTCGACTTTCCAATCGCCGACGAAGCGACTTAGCTCTCTGAAGCTAGGGTGGCAAGTTTGCTACAGGAAAAGGCAAATCAGGAGCCTGCGGAAAAATGGTGTACTGTCATCGGCGTTTTTGCAGTTCGCAACCTATGTGCCTCGTTCACAAAGCATACGCCATGCGGCAAAAGCTACACTAGAATCCACCGTGTCGGTGCTGCAATACAGCCTCTCGCCTGTCCCGGTGGGCATCGCAGGGTGGGTCCCACTAGACCTAGCGCTGAAGCACCCCACTCTCTGTCGATGCCAAGTTGCTCGTAAGACTCCTGCCTACCAGTTCCAGGCAGCTTCTTAATCGCTTTAAGAAGCTCCTGGCGGCTGTAGAAAGAATGATCTGCGATCCGAAACCATGCATCTGGCGTGTCGAGAGTGGCTCCTCCTTGTCATCAGCGTCGGCATCGACGGGAAACTCATCGCCTCATCGGTGCACGGCACTTGCCCCACTTACCCTCAAGTTGGCTTGGGCTAAAAGTTTCAGCAGCTCTCTTGGAGCCGGGTCCCCCCTCGCGGAAATCTGAGCTCGCCGCATAGCTTCCTGAGTGCTGAGATTCACAAAATGTGGTGGTAATACGCTTGAAGCTCTTGGATTAAAGCCGGCACTGATGCATCCATGTTCGACGGAGCCCTCTGGGATGAGACTCCCCTACACCTACACTGGGAAGGAATGAGCACAGCCAGGCAGCAAGACTTTTGCTTCCTCCTTTGTTGCAGCCAGTGTGATGGAGCTGCGTTGCTGAGAAGGGCGCCATGGTCCTGCTTGCTGCAGGAGACTTCGTCTCAACGACCAGAAGTATGTTCTATGGGGGCGAAAAACAGTGCAACACCCGGACCTGCAGACATCAGTCCTTGTACATTCGTGAACACGCAACTCCCAGAAGGATCCCATAGAACAAGGAACAGTTCCGGTTAAGACAACAAGGACTCTCAGCACCTCCCGTAAAGGACAGGTTCACGACGGTGCTGGCAACTGCAACCTGCAGCTGCAAGGCAATGACATTCGACGGACCAAACCGTGCACTCTATGGCCCGACAAGGAACCAGCAGCAATCTGCTCACCAGGCTGCTTCGAGGCGCCATGACAACTCCGGATTTTGACTGCTGATGGAACTGCTTGTACATGTGCAAAGGATGATTCGTCTGGCGATATGTCTGTCGAGGACAGTGGAGTGCTGCGCTGGAAGGAAGACAGTATGACAGGCATGTGGATGTACATGAGTTGCATAAGCCACGAAGGTCAACTCGAAAGAGAGCCAGGCTTCTGAAGATTTCATAATTCCAAGTCGTCTAAGTCCATGTGCACAACTGTCGCTTCCCTGTCTTTCAAAGCTTCAACGGCAGCAAGGCTACTTTGATCCAAACATTAAGAACAAAAAACAAATCCTACACCCTTGAAGCCTGGAAAGCCTTGTAGCCAGTGCTGCAGGATCGTTCCCGGGCCTCTTTCAAGGCGTTCTGTGTGAGGCCTCTCCTGCGGCATCGCGCATGCAAGCTGGGACGACCAAACCGAGATTCGTCTCTGTCAAGGGGGGTACAGTACCAGACTTGGCGAGGCCTTGGGAAGTGCCTGTTCCGAGGCAAGAGCAGAAAAGATCTCTGAATATAAAAGGACATGAAGAACAACATTTCCGATCTATGACAAGTGTGCACTCAGAGGCTGACGACACTGATGTTGCCATTGGAAGCTCATGTCCGAAGCCTTTTCGGTCTGTCCCATGGCTTCTTCCCACGCATCTTGCGCGGCACATCAAGACATGCTCCGGTGAAACGAGCGAAGCAGAATCAGTGGGATTACTTATCTTACTTGGAGAACACTGTGATCCTGTCCATTTGCTTCCTTGGCGCCCTGTGCCAGAAACGGCTTCTTGAGGTGAAACTGTGCCATTCGACTCAGCAAAGCGGTGCGATGCAACCAAGCCTGCTGCGTTCCATCACAACTGTAATTCATACAGATACAGGATCAGAGAGGGCACGGGAGCCTGCCGGAAAGGAAGATCAGCCCAACATGTCGTATGTGAACAGTAGCGATCTAGCAAGTAGAAACAGACTTGAAGCATGATTTACATGACATCCATGAGGTTCATTCAAGACGTGGCCCTGCATGCAATGATATACGATGTTTCATACAGCATCTTCTACTACACGAAGCACAACACTTGGCAGTCATCCGGCATGTCTCGGTCGCAATCAATTAGCACTCACAAACATTGCATGAAACATTAGCTACCCTCCTGCGCATTGATCTAGGCACGTGTGCATGTCCGCATCTGAATGTGCTTGTACGACTTGCCAAGACGTATGCAAGCTAGATAAACAGATAAATGAATAGATAGGTAAAAAGGTAGATAGGCAGATAGACAGATCGACAGATAGATCGATAGACAAATAGACACACAGGCAGAGGGATAGCGAGGTAGGAAGAATCGACAGATGGGCCAGCCGAGAGATAGATGATTACATATGTACGCATCTATGCCATAGACATAGACCGGTTCAAAATTTTGTACATACACATGCATATTATACACATAGACATATTATACGAACTCATGTACGGATATTATATCTACATATATATATATATATATATATAGCCTGTGTATACACACGCATACGCATACCGACACACGCGCGCATTTGTCGACACGCAAACTAGACACACTCACAATCGTTTTGTGACGTTTCGATGATATCAAGATTCAGAAACAACAACAGGCACGAAGAGTTTGCAACTGGTCGAGTCTTGGAGCGGTCACGGTGACATCTTTGACTGACGGCCCCTTAGAGGCGGCATGGCAAAATCTTGACTCACGACCCAAAACCGACGACTGTCATGCTTGCCCCGGCAGGAAGGGAATGCCACCCGGCGCATGCCGATAAGTTTCCATGTGTATGTGTGTGTTTGGCGATTGCATCCCAGGCCTGGTTATGCCGCTATGATTTGCCCTCTGCTGCTCGCATAGCTCGCCTCTCTGCAGAGACCTCCGGCTTGAGGGTTTTGGTTCGGGAACTGCAAAGGGCGCATCTGAGCTCGAATGGAGCAGAGCCTCCGAGTAGAGGGACAAGTATTCGGCCAAGTAACCCACCTTGGCGAAGGGGCATGTGGCTTCTTTCAGGTTGATAAGACTGGCAGAGGTTGCTAGACCGTTTCAACTTCGCATCGGTGTACTTGAACTGCAGGTTCATTATACCAGACTCGTCATTCAAGCTGTGAGTGGCCACACACACACACACACACACAGCTCCGCCCACATTGCAGGTGCCAAACCCCCCCGAAACAGGGATCACTGGCCGAATCCCATCTTGCGAGGCTCTTGCCGGATCTTCGGGCTGCTCCCGGCAGACATCCACCAGCGCGCCTGTGAGTGCCGGGACCTCAGCCAAGGGAGAGAATTCTGAGTATTGCAAAGTACCAGCCGGCTGAGCCCAACACCACGAACTTCATGAGGTAGAGGCGAAGAGGCTCCGAATGCTTTTCCAAACGTGCCTTGTGGAGACGAGCCCACGAGACTGCAATTCACTGCTAGAGCAGAGGCAAATAGGGCAAGCACCAACTCCTCCTTCTTCACGTGCTCCTGGGCCATAGGTCTTGCGTGACAAGAGCACGCACTTGATCCTGTGTTTAAGAGGGGCTGCGGTATTACACTATTGCGGGCATGTTCGGTACCATGCAAGTGCACGAACGGTCCTCGAGAAGAAGTGAATTAAACGTCGTGATCTTGTCATGTCCCTCTGCAGATACACTCCATAATGACCCATTGCAAAGCATTGACATGGAGATTCCCGTCACTCGACTCGACACCTTGAGCATCCTCACACCTTCCTGTCGATGTGGATCCCGTGCCCAAAGCCAGGACTGTCTGTTCTAGTTTTACTGAGCCGATGGGCAGCTGCTTGGAAAACTTCATCAAGTTCGGATGTTCTTTTATCGTACAGCAAATCTTGCAAGAGACCATGTCGGTTTGCGGGTCAAGGCACCACGCGCTGCTCGTGTCTGAGACGTTCCTGGGCTAGTCGTTGCGGAGTCTTCATTTAAGTCATGCTTGCAACAAATGGAGATGCTTGACCTTCCACTAGACACACGAAGCCAGCAACCTTAAGAGGGATCAAGCGCGATACCGTCGCGACCTATTGCACAAGCGCGATTCAAAGTAGGCATACATGAATGCTGCGCAAGGCTTCATCGCTTTGTGCCACGGCCGCCGTGGAGTCTGCAGTTGCCTTTCAGGCTGTGAGACCCGGCTGCTTGAAGCTAGCTGGGAATCCGGAACCATGTGGGCTCAATCATGTACTCGCAGACCGAAAGTTGAGGAAGCGAAGCTTCAGACCCTCGCTTGGCCTCCTCCGCCGCTGCGGTGCCATCCGCCGGCAGCGCTGCGGACTGCGCTGGCCCGGGGGCCGGCAGGAAGTTGAACACTGGCCGACGGGCCTGGAACCGACACCGTCACCCTCTGCAGCTCTGCTATATCTATACATACATGGTCAAACATGCGTATACACATAACGCACGTAAACATTCTCCTCAAGTTTCCTACCAAACATTACACCCGGAGGTAGGTAGCAGGACACCCTCTACAAAAGACATATGGGGAGTCGTCTGCCAAGCTGTTTGCCTGCCTGCCTGCCTGCCTGCCTGCCTGCCGTCTGTCTGCCTGACCTGTCGGGTTGAAAGAGCACAGACGAAGGCCTCCAAAGCCTCCACCACAGTGGGAATCGCAGTATCCAGCCAAGTCCAGGATCCGGACCTTGCATCTCCAGGGCACAGTCTCTCGGTTCCTTTGGTTTTGCCAAGTCCGCGATGTACGCGTCTCGGAAGCCACATGAGCCATAGACAGAAGAGAGACGAGCTAGTGGTGATTGTGGCCATGGTGCTGGTGACGGCGACAGTGATGGTGATGGTGCTGCTGCTAGTGGTGATGGTGGTAGTAGTAGAAATTGTAGCAGTAGCAGTAGCATTGCCACTGCAGTAGCATTGCCACTGCAGTAGCATTAGCAGTAGCAGAAGTAGTAGTAGTAGTAGTAGTAGTAGTAGTAGTAGTAGTAGTAGTAGTAGCAGCATTAGTAGTAGTGCAGGTAGTGGTAGTAGTGGTAGTAGTGGTAGTAGTGGTAGTAGTGGTAGTAGTGGTAGTAGTGGTAGTAGTGGTAGTAGTGGTAGTAGTGGTAGTAGTGGTAGTACTGGTGGTAGTGGTAGTCGTAGTGGTAGTCGTAGTGGTAGTCGTAGTGGTAGAGGTCGCAGCAGTAGTGCTGGTAGCTGAAATGGTGGCGGCAGCAGCAGCAACTGTAGCAACCACGGCACTGGTCCTTTTTCGTGATTGAAGTTGACTATGTCTTTGATGTAACGGATCTATTTAAGAAAATGAGTGAGACCCTGGCGCGAGCACGACCAAATCCGCAGGATCCGGTGCAGGAGGTGCTTCTTGCTCCGCCTGAGGACATTGACTTGACTGAACGCTGTAGCATCGGAATGCATGGTGTTGGAAGTATTACATGGCAGGGTTCAATTTATGCTGCATTGTAGATGCCGAGTGTTAGAATTGGTACGTTTTTGTATCGGTTGTCAGCATTTTTTACCAGTCAGAAACCCCTGCTGAGAAAACTACCGGAGCCATGTTTGCAAGCCCATGGCGGCCTCTTCTGCGGCTTTCAGCGCTTCCTCATGCTTCTCCTTCTCAGCCTGTTGCAACTGGTTCCAGCGGTTGTAGTGCACTGCTACTGCTGCCGGTTTATGCATGCTACTCGTACCATGTTGGCTGCAAGGCTTCAAGCCTGCCTCTGCCGCCGCGTCGGCCGAAACCGTGAGTTGTTCTACGCCCAAGCGCTCGACAAAGAACTCGTTTACCGCATCGCCATCCTGCGCTCAGGATGTAGGGCTTGGGCGAAGCAGAGGTGGGTTCACGGGCAGCAACACAAGTTCGCAGACACTGCCGGCTTTTTCAGGATCGCAAATGCTCTTGGACATGCATGTGGCCTTCTTCCATAAGTCCGAAGCAGCTTGGAACTCCTTCTCCACCTAACATTTGGCCGTCTGCTACAGGCGGGCCCGCTGTGATGCTGTACCCCTCTACCACTGCATGGTGTAGAGATCTAGGTTTTGCAAGCTTGCTGCCACGGTGCGAATGGCTTGCCCTCTGCGGCCTGTGCCCTTGCCGAGCAGACCTGTATCACTTGTGGCAAGAACGACCTTTGACCAACGTCCGCTCCACAGCTAATCAACATCCCAGCAGGCTAACATGAGCTACGACGAGCAGCTGCCTGGGTGACTCCCTGGTGTTCATTTCGCACCGAAGCTTTTGCAACTCAAACTGCTCGAGATGTCAAGAGATGCAGGAGAAAGACTGAGGTGATGGGCTAGCGGCTATCGCCTACGCGACGGCAATTCTCCTCAACATCTCAAGCCCCTCAAGCAAACACTTCGTGTCAAGAAGATGTCGTCCTGAGCTCTTTCCCCCATCTGGGAAGCAGGACATCCAAAATCTGCACCTTTACGTTCCGAGACTTATCGAGCCTGGCCAGAACCCCAAGAAGCCTGCGGAGTATAAGTGCCCACCTCCTCGGCGCTTGTCACGCGAATGACCATGTCCTCAAGACTTGACGTCATGTCTCAGGTGCTTTGCCCATGCATGAAGAGGTGGGCGGTGTACGCTTATAGAAGCGTCTCCACCCCCTACGAAGGCAAGCCTCTATCTCTCTGTCTTTCTCTCTGAAAGTTGAGGATCCGCCCTCCCTGCGCTGGCACCCCAAGTACTACAAGTAAGCACATTCCTTGCTACATCCATCCACTCTCCCCTCTGCCCAAGTGCCCAACAGAAACGGCAACAACAAGCACCACCGCAATTGACTCTGTAACTCTCCACAACTCCACCGGCTCTTGGCGACACCATTCCGCACATGCGTGGGTTCACACACTGTCTTCCTCCCTTCCAGCTTCCCTCCTTTCCCTGGACCAAGAGTCCATCTTCGGATCCATGCGTTCAACACCCCCCGGACTTTGTCCTGGGTTTTCGGGCAAGGCTTTACACGCGAGTTATACAAGTGCAAAAAGTAGGGTCCATGACAGTCGGGAGGACCCCTGTCTCTCTCCCTCTCTGTCTCTCGTCCCGCGAGAATGGCTGCCTTAAGTCCCATATGTGCGTCCAGCGGCGACTTGAAAGCCTTCTTTGACCTTGGCATCCTCTGAGATCGCCGGCTCCTGGTGAAGCGGACTCAAACAAGTAAGAGGTAGTTGTAACAATACTACTAAGAAATATCACGATACCAATAGTAATAATAACAATGCTAATGATAAGTGCTTGGGGGCCATGAAAGTCTCAAGAGTTCGAAAGCCCGCCGGCCGAAACACCGCTGTAAACAGCAACCCCCAAAGAGTGCCAGGAAACTTCCCGGGACTGCCCAACCGGCATCATTTTACACCATAAATTTCTGACTTTGGCACTGTTTCCGAGGTTGGAGCCGTCGAAAGAGAAGCCCCAAACCACCAAAGCGCCAAGGGTGGCCACATTCCATCTTGGTCGAGCCGTTCGAACCCCCAAGTCTGCGTGAGGCCATATTTATCTTCTCACGAAAGCCTAAACCCTAAACCCAGGCTTCATGCGTCGCCAAGCGGAGTCCTCGGCAGGCTTGGCTTTTTTCTTGGGATCTGCCACGGTCTCAGCCGGTGGAGGCAAATCCAAGAAGAGCGCCGAGGTCTCCTTTCGTCGGGATTGGATGGGTGCAGGGTGGAGGCTCAGGTGTTTTTTTAGAGTTTATGGTTGGTCTTCGGGTTTACGGTTCAGGGTTCCAGACCCAAATGCCTCCATCGAGGAGGGGCAGCCACTCAGCACCCAGCCACGATGGCGGCCTGCAAAGACTGGTACGAGATTAGGTAGGGGAGGAACTGCCTCTTCGGTTCCTGCCTGCAGCCGTGTTGATCGCTGCGTCCACAATCTGAGTCGTGAGGGCCGCAGGAAGCCTTGAATGCGACTCGATAAATGCACACCATATCCGGGGCTGGGATGTCGGCTTCAGCGTGAACTTCCGATTCCGCGAGAATTGAAGCCACCATCCAGCTGCTGAGTTCAAGGCAGATACGGCCCAGTGGACTTTGGGTTTGCCACGTTGGCCGCAATGAGATCCAACCTGAAATAATCTCACATGTACAAATCGTTGAGGGAAGGCCAGTTCGAGTAAGTGGCGGACTGCTCCTTCAGTTGGGTTCCAAGTGGCGTTTCAAGCTGTCGCTGCTCCTGTCACATGTGGGCCAACAGGGGGGCGGACTACTTAGTTGCTGAGTTCGTAAGCCCCAGAAAGTGTACACTTTCAGGTTTCTAGTGGTCAGTATTATCCCAAAAGTGTAAAGTGTATCCACTCAGCTACTAAGTGTAGGTTCACTGTATCCTTGGAATAAGCCCGCTTCTCTCAAACGTTTGACTGCCCTTGGTGGCAGGAAGTTCGCATGTTTCCAGTTGGCGGAAGAGTGACTAGCCCTGATGGGTGAACTCCCCCACCTATTCATGGAGGCTCGAAAGCTGTAGCCGTGACCTCGATGAGCTCATCCAGCACGACGGCTGGGATGCTGTACATCTCGGCCAACTTATGGCCTCTTGCCAATCGGATCTAGAGGACAACACTCCTTGACCCAAAAAGCCAGACGTTCGAACAGAGAAAGGGAGTGGTGAGAATCTCCGGTAAAGTTCTGTACCATAGAGGGGCTTTCATTCCGGAAAGCGCGGAAGACGCGCAACGACGATTTACGCCCAGTGGCACAGCTGCGAAGTGCCACTGCCCGGCGGGCCTACCTCGGAGCTACGCTAGGATGGACTCAGAATTAAGAGCGCGGTGCGCGTGCCCGCTGCGAAGCAAGAGAATCAAGAGAACTCCTTTTTCTCAGCCATCGTCTGCACCGGCTTTCTTGTACATGCCTTGGCTGCTCGAGCACCCAGCGCGTCGCAAAAAACGAGGCACTCTGAGCCCAACTGCTCCAGCTGCAGCAGAGCCATGTACTTGCGGAGCTGTGCCACTTACGAAGCGGAACAAGAAAAGAATGACTCAGAATGCCCTATCAGTGATGGCCTCGCCTCGCAGGCGGCATCTATGAGAACGCGATGGGCTGCTCCGGCATGGACTGCACAGCGATGGCAAGCACACGGCTCAGCACAATGCGACTTGGGTGTATACAATACAAGTGTGTGATGCCAGAGCGAGCTATTTGGTGCGATTCTGCTCAGTGCGTGTGGCATACCAACTGTGAAGAACAAAGCCAATGCCGAGCCACAATTAAAATCCGTTTGTAGGTCTTTGCCATGCGCTCAGCCCAATTGTCAAAGTTATCCTTGGCCGGAGCTGATACGACAGAAGTTGCGAAGCCAAGGGGTTTGGCATTACTCCCAAACGGTCGTGGGGTCCACATTACATTGTACTTGCGGCCGAGCATCTGTTACTAGAATGTTGGAAGGAGACAGCTCTCTTAGCTGCCCCAACTCATGCTCCTTTGCATCAGGTTTTGCAACAGGCATCCCAACATATCCCAATCGCATGCTTCTCGAATGAACGGAGCGTCGTGCGGCTGGGCGAGCCAGCTCGATTTGAAAGGTTTGGTCGAGCCAACTTTGGCATTGCCGCCAAGTCGCAACCAAATGCGCCGCTTGCTGAGAGAGGTCCTGTTGTCGGGAACCCCGAGCGCATCTTGCACTTGCACAGGATCTGGCTTGGCTCTGCAGGGGATCAAAGGAACGAAGTTTGCTGAGTCCCGATGTAATAGGAGAACTCCACAGCCCAGAGCTGAGAGGACGTGCAAGGCTCTCGATGCCAAGCGCGAACACTTGTCCCACTCTAATCGTGCCTTGTACTTTGGCTTGGACCAGACAGTTTCTGCAAGGCCGCGCTGTGCAGAGACCTGAGCCCCAGGACCCAAGCGCGCTCTCCTTCAGCTTAGACAACAGGGGCTCGGAGAAGTAATACCGAGATACGGAATATCGGATGCCGAGCATCGTTCTGAAGTGATTTAGGCCACTTCTCGTCAAGAGACGTCAATCGCACGGCAGGCGATACCTGCATGATCTCGCACAGGCTTGATGCAGAAAGATCCAAAGTCCTGCAGCATGACGGCCGTCGTGACATGTCTTGGGAACCATGCTAACGGAATGTGTGCTTCGACGCAGCCGCTTCCAGCTTCTCTTCTTGTATCGTCATGCATCTCTGTGTCTCAGCGTCCTTGTACCTTCTTCTCAGTTCCCCAAGCCTGGGCAACAAATAGAGGTGAGGTCCGCCCGACTGTAATCCTCACCAGAGCCAACGTAGATTATAACCCTCGGAGAAGAAAACATTCACAAACCAAACCAAACTGCAGTTTTCAATCTCACATCTTCTGAAAGTGCACCTGTCGAGGTAGTATGTAGGTTCGGCAGGTTGAAGGGTTGAAGGTTCGAGTTATCCTCAGATTGGTTCCTGATCTTCGTGTCTAAATGAGTCTAAATCCTTGCAGACACGTCAAGAAGCAGCTTTCACCGAGTTACTCGCCCGTGATAAGGAAGTTTGTACAAGAGCCAGCAGGAAACTTCCTCGGATGCTCAGGCCATAGGATTGCCTCTCACCTCTGTCGAATTGTTATGCTCCTACCAGCGACATGGTCTTGAGCTCGAATGGCTAATGGCTTCTGCATCCACCTGCAGCCTGGCCTCGGATGCACTGGATTCACCAGTCCTCGGCTGGTCTCAGCAGGACCACATCCGGCGCCGCCAGCCGTTTTGCACCCGTGCAGCCGGGAGTCGGATCAGCTCCCGGTCCCAGTCTGAGAGCTCGGCCTACAGGGCGAAAGCTTCGCTTTGAAGTGCTGCAGCAGCTCGAGGCCCTTCTCCCCAAAAACATTTTACTGGCTCCTCCGACGGCTTCACCGCAACCGGAATGTTCCGCAGGCGCAAGGAACACAGATTCTCCTGCATGCAGACTGCCAGCAGCTCAACAAAAACCAAGTATCGTGACATTGTTGCTCCCACCACAGCCCCTTCCTTCTGCCCCTGAACATTTGCTGGCACCCGACACTGGCGGATAGCGACCAACTTTCAGGGCAAATGGCGAAGTAGTTCCTCCAAGTCAAGCTTGCGAAGCGTCAGTGTCCATAGATGGCTGGTGGCCTGCAGTGCATCTTCTCCTACAGAGGGAACCTCCGCCCCAAATGTTAATCACACGCACTGCCTGCGACCAGTTTGCAGCCACGCTCGGCAGTTCATCAGCAAGGAAGGAAACGTCTCTTACTTCCGGGTTCGTCGAGATCCCACGGTCTCACACCCTCAAAGAACTGCTTGATTCCAACACCTCACAGCTTTGCAGAGCAACGAGGCCTTTGGACTGGTGCATGCCAAGTCCAGGTCTACTGTGTGCACCTGCGACGCTGCGAGGGCGGCGACCCAGCTCTGGCACGTGTAGTCTTCGTTTTCAGAACGTGAGAACTCACCCAATGCACTTCTGAAGCGAGGTGAAAGGGCGACGGATTGCACCGTAAAATGTACCGGTAGGTTATCAGAAGCTCAGGCTTCAGGAGGTGGACAGAAACACATATTATAGTATCTCATATTATATGACATTCTATTTTACTATATTATATTATAGCCTTATAGCATAGTATACTGTCAGGCATCCCCACGGCATTGCTTTGGGGCAAGCTTGTGGTGCGACCCAGACTGGCGCCTGGCAGAGCGGCCAACTCCAGAGCTCCTGCGCTCGCAGGCCATGACTCGGAGAAACCCGCAGAGCTGAGGCTTCAGAGGATAACTTGGGGTTTAGGGCTTAGGGCTTCTAGGGTTTAGGGTTTGGGGTTTAGGGTCTGGGGCTTAGGGTTTCGGGTTTAGGAATCTTCCAGAGACTGGAATTCTGCTCCCTGCACAAGGATGTGAAACTTCGGACACCGGCACATCCAAAGGATCACTGCGCAGTCCACCTGCTCCTCTACCAGCATCCTTGGCTTCCCAGGGGGTTCTTGCAAAGACTGCTCCTGTTGTCCCAGTTCCAATCCACAATGCTTGAGGCAGCACTTCTGTCGCCTTCCGAAAGCATACATGCATGGCCTGCGCGCAGGAAGCCAAGACGATGAGCCAGGCTGCTTTCAGTTCACGAAGCTCTGCAGAAATGGCTCCACACAAGTATAACAGTTGGAATAAGACTAACTAAGCCCAAACCTGCCATACCACCCGCGTCGCAATACATCGGCTAAGACTCAGCTTCAGCAGCTTCTCCGTCGCGGCACCCGCGCCCTTTGCAGTGGAGAAGCTCGCTTGAAAGTGTTGCCCTAACTATCCACGAAGCTTGTTCGAAGTTTCTTGTTGATGGGGGTGGCGATCGCAGTCCTCTTGAGCCTCTTGAGCCTTTCACTTCTGCATGCAGGCATCCACAACAGCAGGTTGATGCCTGGCTCAGCTATCAGCCTGAGCTTGTGGATGTTCCCCGGTTACAGTCTTGTTCGCTTCTTTTCAAGCCTGATTGCACAAATCAGACTAACTGCCCGAATCGAATGTATATGGAATTGCTGAACATGACAGTTAGCCCGGGTCAACCTGCCAACGCACATTCGTTGATATCAAAATACACGCTACGCAAGTCACATCTACCGAAACCTGCCACTATATACCTCCGTTAGCACCATTGGACCATCTGCTCCCCATGCGACTTGCCAGTGCTGAACATTGATTACAAACAAAAGGCAGCATTAGCCCATCATCGGAGATCGGTCGCACCTCACGAAGTGCAAGCGTCTGCCAGCTGCGCTCATCCTGCGGGAAGCTTCAGGGAATTGCTCTTACGGCTTAAAATATCACAAGCTTTCCAGGCAAGCTCTTTGCCTACGACTGCGTCGTTGCACGAAGTCATGATGGGAAATCCGCGTGGTCTTGATACTTTTAGCGACGCCAGTCGGAGTGCAGAACTAGTCAAGCAGCGCACACGTAAGCTTCCGGCACCAAGCAACGCTGCGAAAGAGCTGCTCAAGGTCCTTTGCAAAAAGATTACACAGGCTAGCCCTCTACCGGCGGACCGTGTTCTGCAGACTGCCAGAATCTGACACTGCGTGTGTCTTCATGCTGCTGCCGTCGGTTTGTAAACTGTTTGTAAGCACTGCAGCTTGCTCTACGACTTTCGCGCCCCACGCATACGTGCAGCCCTGCTCTGCTCACTCAATCCGGCGGCACTGAGTTTCAGACGGCAAAAACACTCCAGCAAAGCGGCGCAACTTTTCCCAGAAGCTCGTTTGTGTACAGAAACCAACCGACACACCTTGGCACAGGGTGGGACGTAGAATTCAAGGTATTCTGAGTAGCCCTGACTGGACCAAGGCACTGGATCTGGGCCAAGTCACATCCAGCTGCTCTCGGGAAGCTGGACAATGCGCTTGTCCGTTCTCCGAGCCGGTCTGCCAAGGGTCTCCACCTTCACAGCTATGCAGAGCTGGGTGGATCATGTGCCGGTAAGCGCTCTCAGCGCAGCATGGTCTCGCCGAGCGGTGTCACCCTAGCTTCACGTCACTGACACCGATGGCGTGAGCACGGCCTACCTTCGCCGGAGTATCTGAAGCCGGCAGTGGGCGAGGCCACCACTGGCCGACCTCTGCAAGAAGCAAAGCACCAAAACCACTGAAGCATATGCTTTTGTGGACTAGGACGCATGTTGCACCTATTCCCGCTCTTCATGCAGCCCTCTGCGAGGAGCCTATAGGCTCGTGTGAAGCCCTTTCCCCGGCCTGGTCTTCGTTCCGTCGCAGACGTATCCGAAGCTCACCTTCCACACGGCACGCTGCCTGCCGGGCCCAAACGCGAAGAACCGAATTGTCCCGATTTACCCTGCATCACGAAGGCAAGAACAGTGCTTCTATGTTGCAAGTTCCGTGGCACTGCGCCTTGAGCTCCTCGGCAGTGCCACGGAAGCCGTTGACCTCCAGGATGCAATGCCCTGGGTGCACCTGGACAGGTGCTCGAAGATTGGAGAAGACGCGACCGCTGCCAAGACTTGGGCACTCCAGATGCAATGGGGCGCTGTGCACAGGAGCTTCCTTAGAAGGTGTTGCATCTTTGGCTATCTGTGTCGGTTGCATATGCAGTGGCAGCTCGGATTTCGCACTGCACTCCAGAGAAGAGCGATGGGTAGTGATTGGCTTGCGCGTCTCCATGTCAAACCTCACACGCCCACCTCCTTATCTGGGTGCAGAAAGTTCCTGAGTTGGATCCGCGAGAAATCTTGCATCCAAACCCGATGGATCTGAGGTGACATCAAGTGACCATACAGATACACAACGTGCTGCAGGAGATAAATAGGCATCGGAGGTGGTGGTGGCGGCGGCGGTCGCGCTGCTGCTGCTGCTGCTGCTGCTGCTGCTGCTGCTGCTGCTGCTGCTGCTGCTGCTGCTGCTACTGTAGTGGTAGTGACGGTGGACGGTGTGGATTTGTTGGTGGTCCTCGTGGCTCCTCCTCCTGCTCCTATCGACTCGCTATCGATTCTATAAGTTACCGAGTTAATTACCACGATTACGTGGATGCTGGTCTTGCCATCACCACCACCAACTCTACACAACCACCGCCATTATCACCGCCACTGGCACTGCTACGATGAGATTAGGCAGACGAAGACCAGGACCGAAGCTACTCCGATCCGTGATGCTTTGCTGCTGCTGCTGTCGCTGCTGCTGCTGCTGCTGCTGCTGCTGCTGCTGCTGCTGCTGCTGCTGCTGCTGCTGCCGCTGATGCTGCTGCCGCCGCCGCCGCTGATGCTGCTGCTGCTGCTCGTACTGGTATGGTCCGGTATTTAGTATTGGTGCCCTAAAATCGACACGTAGTGTGCTTCGCATAGTTTTGGGTGTCAGGCACTTCGCCCCACGTACTCTGACTTCTTTCGCATGCTTCTGCCACACCACATCTCAAGTGCAAGGAAGGATCCAGGAATTGACGAGGCCGTCCTTCACTGCGACCACCGAAAGTCGAATGCCATCCTCGCCTATCCATTGTTTTTCAGGCTGCTTGCATGTTGATGTGTGCAGGGTGCCCAGGGCACAAATTTATGGCCTGGACAGCGCCGTGTAGCTACTGCAGCCGTACAACGACCCATGCTCGATATCACCAGAGCTAGTCTTGCAGGTGCAGCTATGTTTCGGTCGAAAAGATGCCGTGTCCCATGACATATCCATGATGAGGAGCCTAGCCTGGATCGACGTCGATGCCAAGCTTGGCTCCGGGCATCCTGTCATGCAACGGAAACTGGCGCAAGCTACAGTAATCCTCACAATAAGCCCATCCTACCCAATGGGTTCAGCTGACTGCCCTCTTCAGTAAAACCACGGATCTCGGCACAGCGATGTCCAGTTGCACATGTTTGCTTTTTATGAAAAAACATGTCCCGCCAAGACGATGTCCAGTTACTAGTTCATGAACAAACCGGCGCAACACCATTTATTCATCAGGGTCCTGTCCACGGAGATCACATACTCCAGTTCCTCTTCGCCGCTTTGCGCATCCATGGCGCAACCGAGGCAGGAAAAGAACAGCAAACGAATGCGAGTGGGGAGATCCAGTTCTTCATGCTTCTCTTATTGTGGTGCTTCATCTATGACATTGAACAGACTGAAATCCCAGGCATGATCCGGCCTGCCGGCTACTTTACGTCACAGGCAGTGTGTCTTCTTCCCACGGCGGACCCGCGGCACACAACTTCTAGAGGCATCTAGCTGAGATCGTCCATGGTTCCAGCACCCTGCTGCAAGCTTTGAGACAGTTGGAGGATGTCCAGCCCCAGTGCCCTCGCGCAGATCAACACTTCACAAGTCGGCCAAGGGGAGATTTTTACTCTCCGGTCTATGTCCTACTGGTCCTTGTGAAGTCGGGAAGTCCAATACGAGAGCTTCCGAAAATTGGGGGGTACCTTTTTGATCCTTGTAATAAGGATCCTACTATTTAGTGTACTAGATTAAGGTCCCCCAGTGTCAGAAAAGCCCCAAATAATATGAGTTGACCACACACCATCAGGCCAGGCTCCAAGCAACACAGATCTTGACAGGCTCGAGGCGGCGCCAGCGTGAAAACTCTTTTGCCACCTCTGCATTTTAAAAAGCAAGGAAGCTGACAACAGCTGGCCCAACGCAGGGTGAAGTAAAAGGTTCTGCTCCCGTCTATGTTGTGCTTCGCCGTTTCGACACACCGTCAAGAACTTGTGATTGCCCAATTTTGCCGCTCGGCACAAATTCCCCACTTCATGAGCATGATTGGGTCAAGTTCCCGCCCCCCTCCATGACCCCGCCACTCCATGTTCCACCTCCCCCTCGTAAGCCTGCCGATGCCTCACGAACCTGGGGACCTTCCGAGTAAACCGATGCCTCATTGAATTACGAAGCATGTCCCAAAAGACGTTGAAGCTCGAAGTGCGAGTCCGGTTTGGAGCATGGCCACCTGGTCGATGTTGGTCACAATTCCCGTCTCACACCTGAAACAGGAACGGAACTAACAAGTGTGTGCCACTGGCACTCTGTCTCTCTTCTGAGCCCAGCTCCACCAGCGAAAGCCCGGCAGAGTCTCCTCCTTGCCTTCGCAGAGAGGGTCATCAGGGCGCTCAGACTCGAAGGTGCAGCGCAGAGTGCCCAGGTCCGCAGTGCATGGCAACATCGCCGAGGCCTTTCTCTTCAGCTGCGGGCTCTTCTTCTTCAAGGACGTCTGCCTGCCAAGACTCGAGACGTCACAGCTCCCCCAATGTGCAGTCGAAGCCCTCTTCTTGCACACAATAGCCCAGGCTCTTCGTAGCTTCAATTCCTGCAGTGCCTCCGGTGCAGGTTGCTGTGATGTGGCCGAGTTTGGGCGCGACTTCTTCGTCTTGCCCTGAACACGGGCACACGGCGATCGGGATCTGATTGTGCCAGGTGCTCGCCTCACCGCTGACAGGAGGTGGTACCAGGGCAGTGCCAGAAGTCGAAGGCTTGGGAGCCTTCCACGGGCAGCGGAGACAATGAAGCGGGACACCAAATCATATCAGAATTGACAGCGGCAAGGACTGGGTGGTCTTTGCACCTCCTCCTCTTGCTCTTCCACTTCTTGCTCTTCAGGCTCCGGCGGTGGAGGTTCCCATGGTACCTCGCCAGGGCTTACATGTCACGTTGAAGGCAACCAGCAAGGCCAACTAGGACAGGACTCGACCGACATGACTGCCATCTACTTCATCACGGCCAAGCGGCCAAACTGCAGCAACTACGACAAGGCCTGAAAACCCCCGGAAGTCGCACAGTCCTGAAGCCCTGCAGTCTGCAAGACTACTCGTGAATCGCACCTCCATAAGAGGGCTAGGTTCTAGGCCTCAGAAGGATTTTGTCTAAGACAACTCGGCTCTTCGGGTCTCGGCTGAGGGCCTGAAAGGCCGGCTTGGGAGGATCGTTTCATGTGCTCATGTCTTCAAGTCTGGGGCATAAAGGGGCCTTTGTAGATTCCCGTTTCAAAGTCGATGGCTCTGTGACCTAGGTCATGCAAGTCCCCCGACCATCTCTGGCCACATCTTAGGACAACTGATCTGGATAACAGTTTTTCAGGTCGCGGATGTGGTCGGGGTGCACGTTATTGTGGGTGCCGGCATGGATTGGTAGCCTGTGCATGCGGCCGACTTGGACGTCATTGCGGGCCCCTGGCAAACAGTTAGCGGTTAGCGGCAGTTGTGATGTTGTGGATGTCGCTGTATGGACGTTACCTGTGGTGCGATAAGACCAAGGGCCTGGCTGCTGGTAAACGACCGGGGGGGTGGAGGAATGATCAGGTCTTTGCAGGCGGGGAAGGCAGTGGCTCTACAGTGTGCCTTGTGCCTGCTGAACATGCCTCCGCTCGCAAAAGCACATCAGACGCACACCGAGCCAGATCCGAAGCCCCAGACTTGCACGTGAGCTAAGCACGTGGCGGATGTTCATCGTAAAGATGTCGGCCATTTCGGCCAAAACAGCCTCGCGGCGCGAGCGATAGGGGCTCGAAGTATGACAACTTCATCCTGCCAGTTCAGCAGGTGCCTCCGCCACAGTAACAGGCGCCGGCTCGTAAGGCAGGTTGAACCTACGGCACTGCCACGAGCATGTGATCACACGCACTACCAGTTGCAGCGGATGTGAGAGATGGCAGTCTACATAGACCAGCAAGGTCGTCGGACCGCCGAAGGGCTGCGACCAACTGCCATCTTCCATCATGAGATCGCATCGTGGAGGAGTTTCACGAGCTCCCGGCTGCTTCGCGACCGTCTCTATCAACGCTTTTTGTGTCACCTCACCTCCTTGGCACCGGGACAGAGTAGCACTTTGAACCTCACCCAAGTGATATCCCACCCCTGACAAGGATGGTGGCTACTAGACACTTTGAGTGTGCTTGCTGGATAATTGGCTCTTCCAGGTTCCACGGCATCATGGGGCAAAAGCACAGGCTCAGGTGTGCAAGACTTTTCGGAGAGATTCATTCTTGCGGTGGTTTGTATCGGGGCGCAGTAGATCCGAACAGTTGCGCACGCCTCAACACCTGAAACGTACCGGGTCAAGGACCACGGCGTGATTCATATAAGCTTACCCCAGCATCTCTTGATGTCACTCTTCTTCTAATATTCTGTCGGGCAGCTGTCCACTGCCAGGTGGTAGTCAAGCTCTGGCCCCACCTGCTCAAGCCATTATCATCCTAGCATCCCTGCCAAATACATAGCGGTCAAACAAAGACTTCGCTTTGCTCTATGCCGAACGCAGGCATGAACACTACATGACCGCTACGATGTGACAAGGTCGGCCTTGGAGTTTGCTGAAGGAAAAGGAAGGGGAGCTGATCATCTTTGCAGACATACGCTTCATGCGGGAGACTCACGGTGGTTTCTGTCTGCCATGTTTTGGCAGCGTCAATGCGAATTCCTTCGCAGAGGAAGGCGGGATACCTGACGACCCCAGCCTCCCTGAGCGGGAACCGCCTTGTGGGGGTCCGCCGACTACGGTCGGGGCCCCCAGGGGACGAAACACCATGCGCAGCAGCCGGGCGAAGAAATTAACGTCACTCCACCGGGCCATAGTAGTACAAAGGGACTGAACCAAAAAAAAAATGTGCAGAAAACACAGAGGTCCTCCAAACCTCCACGTCGTGGTCTGCCAAAATCCTGTCCTCTTTAAGGACGAGCTGCTCAGATCTGGAGGCCTCCTACCCCAACAATCACCTGGAAGAGTGTGAACAAGGATGCAGTCGAGGCCCAAGCGCCACTAATGTCAAAGTCCTCGTCTTCCGTCGTTGTTGTGGTCGTAGGGTCTGTTGTTGTGGTGTTTGCTGCTACTGTGGTGCCTGTTGCTGTTGTGGTGATCGTGGTCGTGGCCGTGGCCGTTACCGTGGCCGTGGCCGTAACCGTGGCCGTGGATGTGTCAGTGGACGTTGCCGTGGCCGTGGACGTGGCCGTGTCCGTGACCGTGGCCGTGGATGTGGCCGTCTCCGTGGCCGTGGCCGTGGTGGTGATCGTCGTTGGGCACTGTGTTGCAGCATCACTCATCGTGAAGCTGGTGGCAGCCGAGGTGCAACTCTGGTAGTTACCGGCGGCATTGACTAACCAGTTGCTGCCCACATCAGCAATCGCAGCCTTCACGTTTGCCACAGTGCCACTGGTCATGCCTTGATAGCACATGCTGACCACACTTCCCTTTGTGATGGCATCGGCAGAGTTCGCCGTGAGGCCAGAAGGCAAGGCAGTCTGCCCCCCGTTGACGAAGCCCCAAGTATCTGCTTCGGTGCTCGCGGCGCAAAGGGGGGTGTCGTCTCCGCTCACGGCAATCAATGTGTCACCGCCGTTTGAGAGCTGTTCACCTCCGCTTGGCCATTCGAAAGCATTCCCGGAGGTCTGACCCTGCACTCCGCCAAGGACTACACCCGGTAACTGGCAGGAGGAAGCGGTATATGTCAAATCGTTACTGCTGCTCGCTCCGACCCAATTACCGGAGCCATCGACCATCCGAAACGTGGCGTTGATGGTCTCGCCGGCAGCCATCGGCTCCAACAGCACAAGCTGGAAGCTGTCCGGGCCCTGTCCGTTGATGGAAATGAAAGCACAGCTCCCAGGACCAAGAGCAGCAAGGCCGACCCGTGCCAAGCCCAGCGCAAGCACCATACCGAGAGTCGCCATACTGGCCATACTCAGTCTGGGAAAGAGCTAGCTGTGGCTGTGATCTGAGCAAAACTTCGCAGTTCATGCAAGCTCGTGTCACCGATACCACAACCGGTCCCGCTTCTACCAAATATGAGATCAGTCTAACGAAGACTGCATCGAAAGACAAGCACCTGTATGATGTGGCGCGTCAGGCGGGCAACATCACGAGCGTGGACCATCCTGATCAGAGGCGCATCACATGTCACATTGAAGCCGGACAAGCAAAGGCGCGTAAAATGGAACAAGAGACCTTGGGTCACGCTGTGCTGAGACCTGCGCGGGATGTAGTTTTTGCCCTCGCCAATGACGCGAAGGGTAGATCGAGTCCTGAAGTTTGAAGTCTGAGGTTTGGCTTGTCCGGGAGGATCACCACTAGGCGCGGCACTGCCAGGCAGCTTTGAAGAGAGCGAGGAAGGCATCCTCCCGAGGACTACGGGCTGCACGTCGCTTGGCTCACCTACACCGGAAGACTCGCCAATGCGCAAGAACTAAATAATTAGTAACAAAAGTCCTCACCATTGCCGTAGGGTATGCCAGCACATACCTCGAAAGGCATGAAACTCTGACTCTTCGGGAGCCGCTTCTTAGCCAAAACTCGGTGGTAAAAGACGCCACAACTCATCAAGAGTGGCTCAATGCACAGGCGCATGGTGGTCCCTCATTATTTTGGCAGAGGCTTCTCAGTTTCGGGCATTATCATCCAACACTTTCTCCAGATCCGCTCCATAGTTTAGAGTCTCCCTCCGCACTCGGAGAGCCCAAACCCGGATCAACCCAAAGCGACCGCCGAACGACAAAGGGTGCTCGGGAATTCAGTGGATTCATAGTCGGGTGAAGGCATCTGCTCTCTGAATGATTTGAGAATCAGTCTCTGGAGGAATAGCGACACCTCAAACAACCAACAACCAACAACCAACAACCAACAACCAACAACAACAACAACAACAACCACAGCGACAGCGACAGCGACAGCGACAGCGACAACGACAACGACAACGACAACGACAACGACAACGACAGCGACAACGACAACGACAACGACAACGACATTTCATTCACACGCAGCGGGGGAGGACTGTCTGTGGTGAAACTTATCCTCCACGCTTTGCGAGGGATCGACCTATTGCCCTGCTTACTACTTGCGCGGTCACTCTTCACGGCAAGCCGTGCCTCAGCGCTGCACTTGCACACGCTCCGCCCCTCAGGGCTGCAAGCTGTGAAGTGGGAAGCGAATGTGTCTTCAGAGTCTTATGCGGCGTTATGATTTCGGCACTAGCTTGAAAGCTAACCGGCTTGGTTGCAATGTATCACTGGCTGATTGGCAGCAAAACCCTAAACCCTAAACCCCTCGCTGTTGTCCTCTGCCTCGTTGCTGGGGAGTACCACTTCAGGGGAGAATCTCCACCTGACGGACCTGTGTCTCCCCGTTTAGGGGCAGAGCTCTCATCCATCGATGCTCGCTGGAAGAGCTCTTGCAGAGACATTACTCGGGAGATTGGCTACGTCCTGGGGCTCATGAGAGACGGCGCTGCGAGCTAGGAAGATGACGTAGCTATTTTCTTGAAGCAGGGGATCTTCGAGGGTACAGGGACTAGGGGGCTGGGAACATACCAGGCATCTGCTGTGCGTACAGCTGCACGGTAATGGCCACTAGTGGACTCCATTCCTAGGCGAATGATCACTGCCTCTACTGTGTAGGTACAGAACGAAACTCGGGATGTGTGGTCCAGGAAGACAGGGATCTGGACTTGCTGTGGGATTGTGATGCGAGTGTGATCCTTAGCTTCACCTGCGAATCTCGGCAAGGCTAAGCACACCTGCTGTGCAGCTTCTATGAGAGCACATGAGCGCTCCTGAGACGACCATGCCACTAGCATGTCCTGTAGGTTGGTCTTGATCGCCGTGGCAAGATGAATGGGAGAGCCCCCTTCTTCGTCCACTATCACGCCTTCCGGTACTGAGGCTCTAGTTTCCCACTGTCCAAATCTTGATGCAGAGAGATTCCGAAACACTTGCTGCAGGAACTCAGCAGAGTCGTGCTGGCCTCCGTCAAAGAGCCAGCCCATGGTGAGCTCCGAGAAGACTCTGTGTTCAGGGGTTATTCTCGCAAGCTGGCTGATCCGGGATGCCTCTTGAAAAGTCGCCTCTGAAGGCTCTGATAGCCAGTGGAGACACTGCAGACCTGAGTTGGCATAGCAGTGGTTGCGAGTATTGGCTAGCAGGAGAAAGCCTTCCAGTCTAAACACGGGGTGAGGAATTCCTGGCGTTGAATCTGAAGGCTTCTTTGTGACTGTCTTCGCCGATGCCGTGGACTTTGCTCGAGTATATTCGCGGGGCTGCTTGCTGAGCTGCTGGCGCGCTACCTCCTGCAGTACGTGCACCTGCAGTAATGGAACGCACTGCTGAGCATGTCTACCCGGGGCATCCACACGAAGTTTGCAGTATCGACAGCTATCTCCTTTGTGGAAGAAGACCTTGAATTGATTGAATCTTGGTTGGAGAGTTTTCTCCAGCTTGGCCATCACCTCAGGATGCTGCTTGTTTAAATGCTGTTTGGCTCCTTTCTGGCCTACGAGGACCTGACCACAGAGTGCGCAGTGTTCCATCAGGTAATCATGGAACGCCGGATTTCGAGCGGCGCCTTCTGGATTGTCCTGGGCATCAGACTGTAGACTTTCTACGAGTGAGATCCGGTTCTGTGCTTCTAAGGGTAGCTCTTCCTGCTGTCTAAGCAAAAGCTCTACCCTAGGGCAGGTAGATGCTTCGACATGTTTGCGCAGATAAAACACTGTTCGGAATGTTGCTCGACAGGCGATGCAAGTTGCTGACCCTGGCATTGAATGCAAAATAGGATCAAATTTGGGTCCTTTCAGGCACTGCTGAGAATCTGGGTGAGCCTTCTGCAGGTGGCGACGGAGTGCTCCGGTGCCAGAGAGACATGCTCCACATTCACCGCAGGTCAGAAGCCTATCCTCCACATGGTGCGAGGAAAAGTCCGTGGAGAGGCCTTCCAATGCCTGGCTAACTGCCTCAGCACGCAACTTATAGTGTGGGAGAAGCTGGGGATCGGAGTGTTGCTGTCTCTTTATAAACTGGGTCATTCTCTTTTGCAGCTGCTCCTTCACGTGAGGAATCCGTAATCTCCGGAGTAACTCCTGGTTTGATTCCTTCGTTTCCTGGGAGTAACTCCGCAGGACGAATCTGAGTTGGTACATCATGTGTGAATGGAGCTTTTGCAATCCCTGCTGTGTCATCCCCACCACCTGGAGTGCATACAGAGCAGAGGCCCACGCAGTTATTGTCCAAATCGACAGACGACGTCTGTCTGATAAGACTCGGTGGTTCCGAACTGCATGGGCTACTTCTGACATTGCAAGCTTACTGGATGACAGCCGATGTTTGAGAGTCTTCATTTCATAGTCATGATAAGAAAGAATGACCCCCAAGTGTGGGACCTGATAGCGCAGCGATATCAGCCTGCCCGAAGGGAGTTCAACATACTTCTCTCCTTCGACCTGGCGAAAGAGTTTCTTCCTAATGGTCGAGGCTGAGCCCCCTTGCAGCTGTAGCAGAATTGCTGACTTGGACGGATTGACCTTGAACCCAAGCTCTACCAGCTGATCCAGAAGCAGGTCGCAGTACCCTAGTGCTGTCTTGAGGCCGGCCTCAGAGTCGAAATGCGACTGGATCAAGCTATCGTCAGCGTACATTGTGAGGAGCTTCACTAGTTCTGCTGGGCTGATTTTCCCAGAGAGCTTCCTAAAGAGAAGCCCTGATGCAAAGGCGAATAAAGAGGGTGCTAGCTTACATCCCTGCTTGATTCCCCTGCGTGTGGCTATCTCAAAGCTCTGATCGCTGGCTGTCATCTTGTACAAGGCTTTGATGTGGAGATGGCCTACCACCTCTATCAGAAGAGGATCTGCTTGTTCGGCTTCCAGGGCCTCTCTTAATCGCAGCCTGTTTACAGTGTCAAAAGCTTTGCTCATGTCCACGCTCATGGTGAGACTGCCTCTGAGCTTGAGCCCCTGTTGTCCCTTACCTGCAGCCCTAGTGGTGAGGGCCTGTCTGAACCTGGCCTGGTCCACATGTGTGAGGGCCTTGCAGATAGCCTCCTCTGTGCCCCTGCCTGGGACAAAGCCGAACTGAGAGACGCCGGTCATTGCTAGCTGGAGGGTAGACTTGAGTCTCTTCCTCACGAGTCCGGCTAGGACCTTACCCTCAGGTGCTATCACCCCGATCGGACGGAGTGAGGTTGGTTTGTCTGGCTTCTTGGGAGGCTTTGGGAGCCAGGAGATCTGTGACGAGGTGACACTGTCCGAGAGCCTTCCTGCAGTGACTTCCCTATTAAGGGTGTCCGAGATTAGCCGGATTGCTTGGGGACCTAGGGAGCGCCAGGCTACTACGGGAGGACTCTCTTTAGGAACCGCCTTGCCAGCTTTATTGTGCCAAGCTGTTCTTGCACTTCTTGCTCAGTGATGTGCAGGCTGCCTTGTATCCCTGAAAGCGGGAAGTCATCCCCTGCTCCAAACAGGTCTAGGGAATATTCCTCTAATTGTCTTCTTTCTTCCTTGGCAGTAAGGAAGCGACCCTCAGAATCACGAAGCTGAACTCTTTCCTGGGGCCTCCCCGACCTGAAGCGCTTGATTACCTTGTAAAGGGAATGACTCCCGTCCTGCTTGGACTTAAGCTCTGCCTGCTGGAGTTGTTCATCTATTTCCTGCCGCCGCCGCTCCTGCTTGTGACGCTTTGCTACCCTCGCCTGTGCACTTTGCTGGGAGAACGAGCACCAGCATCGGAACACCATACGGACCTGCAGCCCGGGCAAGAACTCTGCTAAGACCTTGACTGCTAGTGGGAGTGAGCGCAACACAGAGCGCTCTTCCCAGATGCTGAGATCGGATCTTTGTGCTGCTTCCTTTCTCTTGGGAAAGTGAGTCGCGAGGGCTGAGTTCATTGCTTGATGGAGACTCTGCCAGATTTGGGGATGATCCTGAAGGAGGGAGTCTACCTCCCTGGCAAACGCCTGTATTTTCGGGGAGCAGTGTCTGTAGCAGTCCTCCATTGCCTGCTGGTCATAGGGTTTTGAGGCTTGGGCGGAGTATCTCCTGCTGTGCCTCAGTTTACCAAGAAGGGGGAAATGCCTACTACCATCCCTCCAGGATGCAACTGGGAAGGTCCTTAGTGGCCGGCAAAACCTGGCGGGGCCTTGGGACTGTGCAATCCTGACAAACGAGAAGTCAATCTGTGAAACAGAGTTGCCTTGTTCGTGGGTGGCTGGTCTATGCACTCCCCAAGTGTTGGTTGCGACTAGCTGGTGCTCCGACAGTAGGGTCTGGAGATCCTTAGATCCGCGATGCCCGAGTCTGCAAGCCTGGATCGTGCATGGCCCTACGTGTTTGTTGTCGGTTTTGAGCGAGGAGTTAAAATCTCCTAGCACAAGGAGAGTGTTGCGATTGGGAACAGCTCGGATGGACTTACTTAGGGCGTGAAGGGTCTGCTTCCGGGTTTCCTTATTCTGAGCGACTGTCTCCTTAGAGCGCCAAACGTATTGATAGCAGCTGAAGACGTCCAGTGAGATGCCGTTGCTCGGCACCCGGACCTGGAGAACTCTTCCTGGAACAACCTCGTTGTAGCGAAGATCCTGTGACTTGCACAGCGTGGAGTGCACCATTATGAGGACCCCGGCTCCCTTCTCCCCTGTGGAACCAGAGCTGATCACGTGCCAGCCTGACTTGCTGAATTGCCAAGAGCCCCTCCAGTGCGTTTCCTGGATTGCTACCAGCTTCACATCCTGAAATGCGGCACTTTGCAGTACGGAGAGTAACTCTTCCCAAACTGCTGTTGTGAGAGATCCTGCGTTCCAGGATAGATAGCTGAGATTCTTATCTTCTGTAATTTCGAAGGCCGAGTCCTTTTGCCGGGATTGGTGGGCTTTACATGTGCCGGAGCAACTCCAAGCTCTGTTGACGACATCGTCCTTCCCTTGTAGACCGCACTACCTTCAAGCAGAGCTTTACGTGCTGCCCTTTGATAAGAGCGTTTACCCTTCCCTTTAGGAACGGGCTGATGCTTGGTCGAACCACTAGGCTGTTTCGCAGCACTCATGTTGAGTACGGCTCCTGTCGGCTTCGCAATACCGACAACCCTCACCTCTGGGAGATGTTAGAGAGCTGTAAATCTAATACTCCCTCCCGGACTTGGGACCGGGACTGCTCAGGCGCTGACAAATGCCATGGCAAGAAAGGAAAAAGGCAACTGTACTAGCCTGACCTTTCCTGAGCACAACGACAACGACAACGACAACGACAACGACAACGACAACGACAGCAGCAGCAACAGCAACAGCAACAGCAACAACATTCACAAAAGTGCGAACATATGGTGCTGACGCACACTGATGGTCCATCTCTCCAGAAGACACGACTGAACCCAAAAGCCTCTGCCGGCAAACTCATCCTTGCAGACTGTACGCCGTAGGCAACAAGGAATGAATCGAAACCTGTCCACGTGGTGACTCTGACCCAAAACAAACCAAGCTTAGGATCCCCTCGCAGGGCACTACATACGGTCGGATCATGCCCCCCTGCTTGTTCTTGAGCGCCAAGACCTGCACCATGTCCGCTAACTGAAGCAGCGACAGGCGAGGCAGATGCCGGGATCAGATGAAGGGCAGTGGCTGCAAAAATCTCGCTCCGGGCTAGGACAATTGCACCAGGGAATACGTGCCTGAGTCTCGATGTCTTTCCAGTCCTGGAACTTGGGTGTTGGAACGCGACGGATGTAATCCTGGCCCGAGACAACTCTACCAGCAACAGCAACGGCAGAATTCCTGGACCTGAAGCCACAACAGCATCCAATGCTGGAGTGCTGTGAACCCGCCGTCGTGGTCTCACCCAGTGCGCAGTTCATGGAACGTAGAACACTCTTCCACGGTGACATTCGCTCTTTTCTCATCCAATACAGGTTGTGATCCTACTTCAAGCAGCTCAAAGCATTCCAGCAGGGCCTCGCAACGTAGCGCAACAGGGCGTGTCTCTGGCTCTGGCGGAGGCGGCACCTACAAAAAGTACTTCATGAGACTGCGAAGAAGAACCTGTAGAGTCCCCCGAAGGCTTCCAAGAACCTACACCTACATTCCTGCGCAACATGTCTCCGAGTTGCTCACGCTCGCAGCCCGCTGCGAAACAAGAGCATCCTAAGGCAGACACTTCCACCGGAACCTCCGGCTGACCTGCAGTGGATGACTCTGCCTACAGACCCTGACTACCGAAAAAACGGTAGCTCTGGCACATTTGGTACATCTTTAGTTTCAGCTTGCAGTTTGTGGCTGTCGCGGTGAATCTCTATCTAATCTACAGTGCATTTGCCTTGCATTGGACCCAGAAAACCTGCCCGCAGCCTGCCAAGCAGTGCAAATGGTACTTCGCAGACATGTAGTGTGACATTGCGTTGTTACACATACCTTGTCTTATGCAGCATCAAACGCTACCATGCAATAAGCTACTCGACAATGTTTACTAGATCAACGAATCAAACTACGGCAGTAACGGTACTCGCAATCCTAATGTCAGAACAGTGGTTGCACAGAGAGTACGAGCGAAGACGGTGAATGTGATGCTGATGATGAGGATGAGAACGAGGATGAGGATGAGGGGTGATAGCCCTGGCAGCAAGAAAACACCCCTCACCATCGCATACATAGTGGGAATAATCCGGAAAGTAAATGTCAAACTTTCTCTGTAATTGCTGCTCGACGCGGGGCCTTCCTCCCCTTCTGCAGGCTCCGCCTGAAAACTTGAGCAACGCGAATCAAAACGCATTTCCACAACATTCTCGGGACAGCACATGCAGAAAATGACACATAGGTACACAGGCATGCATGTGCTGAAACATGTTGAGGCACATTGCCCTGAACTGTATACATATACAGACATCTACAAAAGTACATGTAACGTGTAGGCTTGAGTTGAACGTGCATGCATATACACACATGCAGATAATGAGTGTGTGTGTGTATACATAAATATGTGTGTGTATATATACATATAAGTATATACATGAACACATGTGATATGAATGCATGTGTCCATATATACAAACACACAGATATGCTCACCCCCACCCCTCCGCGACAGACAATGGTAGGGAAGACATCTACGTGGTTCGATTTAAACAAACTGAAGGGTATTATACATTTTGTATCTGGAGCCTATCGTCATAGTGATCACGTTTTGGTTCTCATGAGTATCGCGCTGTTCAGTACCGGCATGTAACACTGATAACGAGTGCGTCTTGAGTTCCATTGTTTGTTGGCTTTGTTACACAAGTGTCGCTGAACATGCAACATGTGTTTGCACCTTTTGCAAAACATTTCTCCTATCATCCGCTTGTCATTGTCATGAACAATCCCGCCACTTCTCGTGTTTAGAGAGGCACATCAAAAGATGCTTCAAGACATCCAGAAATTCTGCTAGATCAGCGGTTTGCGCAAGACCAGCAGCACCGTACAATTAGGGAAATTACATGTAATGTTACTGGGGAATCTAAATACCCAGTCGACGAGTCTTTGTATTTGACGAAATTCATTTGGTCTAATCACTAGTCTGACCATTCAAGATACTGAATGCGCCTCATGCGTCCATAACATGAGCTATGAATGTTCAGTTGTGATACTGATGATGGGATTGCTAGTATTGGTCACACTCATGTACTTATCCATGTGTTTACATATAGATGTAAGGTGTCTGCATATTGCCAAACAGCCTGTGATGAACTTCACTCCTTCGTTTTGTACAGAAACAGATGTTGATCTGTGCTTGTAAACAAAACTGCTTCTATGACTACGACAATACCAGTCAGCTGCTTATTTTCGTCTGTTCATCAAGGATGGAATTTACTCTTTGCCCTTGTCCTTGATGGAAGACTGCACTATGAAAAGACTTGCATCGAACGAAAAAGTTCATGCTAGCTCAAGCAACACAGTTCTTAAGATACATGTACAAGATGTGTAAGTATGTGTACTTCGTGTTTGGACGGGGGGTCTGCAACGTCTGTAAACGTTGCGTTTTGATGTACGGCTTTAACTGGTGCTTACAGTAAAGAGCTGCAACTCGTACACTATTACAGCTCAGAACTTAGTTGTCATCGTTTGCTAGGTGTAAGTTTCCAGAACGAGTTTGGAAGAACGACATCCCCTAGTTGGACCAACAAAGGAATGGACATGATCCACTGCAAATGATGAACTTCCAAGAGATGTGATACTGTTATGATTCATGTATGAGGTTTACCAACCCAGTCTGCACGAATGGGCGTGCGGGAGCACACGAACTGGATGGATGAAGCTGTTGTGAAACATGCTGTACAAACACGGCTACTGGTACCTGGTATGTGTTAGAAACAGGAAAGTTGACGTAAAACTTATATAAGCCAGTTGTTTTGGAACCCTCGAAAGAACTGTATAGATGCGATTTCGGGCAAGAGCGCAGACCGGAGTTGAATGATACAACCCGAAAGACAACAAAATACAGATCCGGAGAGAGTGGCTTTTGATTGTTCGAGAGGTGTTATTCGGTTTCTTGTAGAGTGCCGATTACCCCTGGCACGCGGAACATCAAAACCTAAAAGCGTAAAGTGAAAAAGGCAAACAAACACTGCATTCTCTCCTCCGGATCTGTGGTTTTCCTGTTGTTTGCCTCATGCTCGGGGGTGGAGTGCAGGCCAAGAAAAACACATACAAAAACAACAACGTGTTTGCGGAATTCTGTGCGGATGATAGATTGTTTTTTGCCTTTCTGTCTTCGAGAGTATAAGTATATATATATATATATATATACATACACGTACAAACACATATGCACATACATCTTACATATACATATGTATATATGCGCACCAAACGAGCGACCAACTGACACAGAAACGCACACATAACCATTCGAAACATACAAAACCACTGAAAACAGTGCGTTGCCAAAACGCAGACTACTACTACAACTACTGCTACCGCTACTATTCTTATTCTTAGACTTCTATTGCTCAGTAGTATTTGTAGTAGTAGTGTTATAACTACTAGTATTTTGAATCTTGTTATGACTGATATTAGCACAACCTATTGCTAGTGCTGTCAGATTTATTGCTTTCAGCATCATAGTTACTGAATTATTACGGTTACTACTACTGTATGATTACTATCACTACAACCAATACTATTGCAGTATATTATAGTATATAGCCATGTATTATGCTCCATTCTAGTGTAGGATTTCTGAATCACGCAGTACTATTCTCTAACATCATAACATATTATATCATTCCATATTGTATTATGTCATGCTATGCTTATGTAAATTACAGTCCATCCATTTTCGTGTACTGTACTATCTTGATATTGCACGAAATGGAAGTATGAAACAACATAAATTATCATATATCATATTTCCAATATACTACTGCGCCAGGACGAAAGTTCGTCGAATCCGGTGGGTCTGCTAACACATACTTGCAAACCCTTTCCCCCGTAGACTCCTTCACGAAGTCGCGATGTCAGGCAAGGACGTCACTAATTCCTCCGTCGGAACAAAAAAACAGTGTATGTTTATTTTGGCATGGAAATTCCTCCGCTAGCCAGGCCACGTAAAATGCACTTCTTCGTACTCCGAGTCCTCCGCCAAGCAAAGACATCTTAGTGCGACAAAACTTTCATCCTGCTGATGCTCACCCGCGACTAAAAACGAGTAGGCACCCGTCCAAAAAACCTCCTCCGTGTGTCGCTTTGCGGGTTTCACACATGCTGGCCTGGCCGAACTGGCCTGGCCTGAACTAAGCGGTCTTGGAATTCATGCTGCTCACCCGCGACCAAAAACGAGTAGGCACCCGTCCAAAAAACCTCCTCCGTGTGTCGCTTTGCGGGTTTCACACATGTTGGCCTGGCCGAACTAGCCCAAAAAACCTCCTCCGTGCGTCGCTTTGCGGGCTTCACACATGCTGGCCTGGCCGAACTAGCGGTCTTGGTATTCATGCTGCGCCAGGACGAAAGTTCGTCGCATCCGGTGGGTCTGCTAACACATACTTGCAAACCCTTTCCCCCGTAGACTCCTTCACGAAGTCGCGATGTCAGGCAAGGACGTCACTAATTCCTCCGTCGGAACAAAAAAACAGTGTATGTTTATTTTGGCATGGAAATTCCTCCGCTAGCCAGGCCACGTAAAATGCACTTCTTCGTACTCCGAGTCCTCCGCCAAGCAAAGACATCTTAGTGCGACAAAACTTTCATCCTGCTGATGCTCACCCGCGACTAAAAACGAGTAGGCACCCGTCCAAAAAACCTCCTCCGTGTGTCGCTTTGCGGGTTTCACACATGCTGGCCTGGCCGAACTAGCCCAAAAAACCTCCTCCGTGTGTCACACATGCTGGCCTGGCCGAACTAAGCGGTCTTGGAATTCATGCTGCTCACCCGCGACCAAAAACGAGTAGGCACCCGTCCAAAAAACCTCCTCCGTGTGTCGCTTTGCGGGTTTCACACATGTTGGCCTGGCCGAACTAGCCCAAAAAACCTCCTCCGTGCGTCGCTTTGCGGGCTTCACACATGCTGGCCTGGCCGAACTAGCGGTCTTGGTATTCATGCTGCGCCAGGACGAAAGTTCGTCGCATCCGGTGGGTCTGCTAACACATACTTGCAAACCCTTTCCCCCGTAGACTCCTTCACGAAGTCGCGATGTCAGGCAAGGACGTCACTAATTCCTCCGTCGGAACAAAAAAACAGTGTATGTTTATTTTGGCATGGAAATTCCTCCGCTAGCCAGGCCACGTAAAATGCACTTCTTCGTACTCCGAGTCCTCCGCCAAGCAAAGACATCTTAGTGCGACAAAACTTTCATCCTGCTGATGTATACTACACTGTACTATACTGGTTTTATTGGTTTAGACTGTATCATGTTTGTAGCTTTGCATGCATATGCATAAATGCATATAGCTATGTATGTGTGCGCTTCTCTCATTCTTCAGAAGGATGCATTGTGTGTATTTACAGTCCCTCCCCCCCCCACCCATGCGCCTGTGGAGGTGTCGGCTCGTCACCTTCCGGGATCCTCAGTTCTCACCGGCTTCACGCGCGTTCCAAGCCAGCTTGCATCCACCCTCCATCTGGCACATGGATTGGGAGCATCCATCAGTGCAGCAGCCATCATAACTGAAGCGCATCGTTCAGACTTCGACAGGGCTGATGGCCAGAGTGCATCAGACCAAGGCGGCACAAGCCACAAGAACTTCGTCCAACTGTCATGGGCAGCGATGAGTTTGCCCTTTCCGAGCGCTCTAAGGCAAGGTGGACGAAGATGAGTGACGAACGCCTTCTCTGAGATCCCTACTCCGGAGCCTCCTCCACGACCGGAACTTCCTGTGAGAATTGCACAAAACCTAGATGGCATTCGGCTCTCATATCACGCAGCTGCTTTCGACAGGCACCAAAGCTGCCAATTACAGCGTCTAGCAACACTCGCGCGATAGACCTCGTAGCCCCTTGCCGTTCTGGCCCAAACCTGAGCATTTCATACAAGGGATGAGATGAGAACTGGTCTATACCATAAACCCGCCGCATAGATGAAACAAAGATATCTAAAAGAACACAGATAGAAAACAAACAGGCACAACAATGCACCTTCTAGTTCCGATCCCGTTGTGAACACACGCATTTAATTGTTCACAAGCTTCTCGTTCTCTTGCATATTTATATGTTACATACACACATACGTCGACGTGTACGCAACATGTACGTGAAAAACTGCACGCCTTACATCTACATTTTCACACACACACACACACATAGACACACAGACAACTGCTAGGATCACTTCTTACTACTCAGGCTTCTGCAGTCTTGTTTTGTTGGTCCTGTTTCAAGCGCACGCTGCGAAGCATCAAAGCCGGGATGTGTATTATTGAACCAATAGCAAGACAAAGAGGGTGCAAAGCAAATGGCGAATGTGTTGTTGCAGAACATCAAAGACTTCAACGCACACAGTTGAAATTGGTAAAGGGTCGAGTCAAACTGACAGACGCAAACGCCTGAAAAACGAAGCGGGATGTCAGCAATGAGCGAACATGAAACACTGAAAATAGTGAGCACAGCCTGTGGACAAAAGGTCTGTACTACTGGCGCTGGCACTACGCTGCTGGCGGCAGGCAATCTTCGCGTTTTCATTGAAGTTGTGTTTGTGTTGTTTGTGTGTATAGTTACATTGGGCGTTTTTGCTTTCCTTTCGCGTGGGCAATCCAACTGCAAGACTCGTCGCACATTTGCTGACTATTCGTTTGTTCAGGTGTCGTTTGATCTTGGTAACTCGTTTCTTTGCAACTCGTCTTCGCGCCTGTAACAATCTCCTATCTTGGAACATATAGAACGTACCTTATGCCTGTGCCTAACGTTCACGCGCACAGGCGTGCGTGCGAGGCCCGTGCGGCGGGCGCATGGTGGGTGGGTGGTGGGTGGGTGGGTGGGTGGGTGGGTGGGTGGCCGGCGGGCGGGCGGGCGGGCGGTGTGTGTAGGCGTGCGGACGTGCTGGTCTGTAAGCATGCGGGGCACGCCGGCATGCGGGGTAGGGAATGCTATCCGTCCAGACTTATTCAGAATGACTTTCTGCTCCTCTCTATCTGCAAACTAGGCCAGCTGCCCCTGCAGAGGAGATCAAGATGAACGTCACTTTGTGCATGATGTCGGAGGCCTGAAACTAGCTGAATATTCCGAGGGAGAGGGCGTCAAACATTGCTGCTTCTGTTAGATTCTGTCCTGCTCAAGACTCTGCAACAGAGGCAGGGCGTGCGAGAGAGAAAGAGAGAGAGACAGGGAGAGAGACAGGGAGAGAGACAGAGAGAGAGAGAGAGAGACACCGGGAGTCTTCTTTCTTGCGTCTGGTGCGACGAGGATGCAAAGCCCTGCGCCGTCTCTGTCCTTTGGACTTGAAATAATTGCTAAACCACGACAGCCACAAAAATGGCCTGATGTTGAAGAACAGTCAGCGCCACTAAAGCGGCATTGCAGAGCCCTGCTGCGGCTGCAAGAGCATATGCATGCAGCGCACCAGTGAGGAGTCATGGAGCTTTGTCGGCTATGGCTTTGGTTGCAAGTGTGCTGTCACCTCTTACATTCAGTTTCCATTGGCAACGTCAAGGGAGAGTGCACGTGCGCGTGCACACTGTCACGATTTTTCGCACCAGCTCCTGACTCCGCAAGGGTGCGCCAGAAACCAATGCACGAGGCTCACTGTACCATCAGCCGCCTTGAGCTATCTGGGCTGAGCTAGGGGAAACTGGTGCACACGGCCAAGAGGAGTACATACGAACAACATTCCGTGAAGTCGAAGTTCCGAACAAATCGCCGGAGACCATTTTCAGATGCTTGGATCGCAACTGTCTGAATGCCCACTTCAACCCAAGGGTTTCAAGCTTCGTGGTGACGGGACGAGGAGATCAAGAACCAGATCTCTTTCTAAAGCCCCCTGATCGCGGGGCTTAGTTTTGAAAACTTCTCCGGATGCGAAAGCATCCCCAGTGCCCGGCCAACCCGGGGCTAGCAAACCGACGAAGATTCACACGTCTCCGAAGACAAGCCATACCTCGGATGGGAACAGCACTGCAGGGAGCAGACAGCAGAGGCTCTCGCCCGGCCCGAAGCAAAAAAACTGTTTGGCTGAGCTGCTCCTTCGAGCGGTACGGCCTGTAATGGTAGTACCTTGGAAACGGGAGTTGGGCATTTCATCCCCTACGTCTCAGACGCAGTGACAGCACGCCCAGACGTGAGAGAAGATATCGCTAATTACAGCGCAGAGCCAGACAGTTGATGTCAAGGTGCTTGGGCGTCGGGTCAATGCGGACGTGGAGCCAGGCCACGCCGCTCCCTTCGGTGTTGAGCCAGAAGGGAGCCTGGCCAGGTTGAACATGAAAGCATGCCAGCGAGTTTTGGCACACGAAGTCGAAGGCCTTTGGGTCCCTCTGCAGTCGTTCTCGCAGTGCATCACCGACTGCCTGCATGCAGAAAGACCGTGCTAAAACATGGTGACAGCGCCTGTACGCGCCTATCCGTTTTTAGCGATTTCAGAATGAGGCGTTTTGCATGGATGCGCGCGAAACCACAGCGAGAGCGCAATCTCACAGAAAATTATGGTTCAGGCAGGTGCGCGAAACACTAGAGGCTGGAGTAAACTTTGGGCCTAACTGCGTTTTCGCTCGGTGTTTAAGCTCATTTTTGAAGAGGCTGCAGAACAAAACTTTATTTGAGAGAGAGTTTTTGCTTAAAGTCTTGACTTGTCCTAGGTCTTAGGTTAGACTTAGGGTTAAGGATTGGGTTTATGTTTGGTTGTACAAAGAGGCGAAAACGCTGCAAATACCGGTGTTTTGCGCATGGGCGCAATATGAATGACGTTCTTATCCCCCCACCCCCCTCCCCATCCCCCCCACCCCCTCCCCCACACACCCCACCCCAATACCCTGAAACCTGCAAAAACGCATAGGCGCGTACAGGCGCCGTCACCTAAAACATGTGTGGTTAAAGGTGCCGAGCTGTAGCTAAAGTGGCCTTCAAGACGGCATCGTGCTGTGTGGCAGGGGCTTTCCGAAAGAAAGAGCCGATGTGCTTGTAGTCCTCAAGCATTTGCTGGACTTTTCTTGGACTACAAGCATAGCCCAGCATAGCCTAAGCATCTGGCGGCTGCAAGCTACTTCTAGATCACAGGACCTGACGACCTCAAGGCCTCAAGTTTCACGTCCTCCGCTGTCATCGTCGCGTCTTGTGCCGGAGACACTAGAGTTGAGCTGCCTCGGCATTATGCAGCAGTGGATGCTGGAGTGCCCAACTCAAGCCAATGTAATGGCCGACGGCCAGTTCAACTGCGCAACAATCCTGCCACCCTGTTTCAGGTTTGCAGACCGACGCCATTCGAGCATGTCCCCAGACAGCGAAGCCCCTCAGACAGGAAAAGTGCTGAAATGTATTCCAGGACACCCCCTAGATTGGGGAAGGTGGCCGCCGCCGGCTTCCCTTGCAACGGCTTCAGGTACTTGGCGAAAGACTCTGTGTCCTGACCGTGCAGGAATGAATTTGGCGTCTGCATGTTGCGGCGATGCTTAGTGATGCAGATGCATCGGCGTGCGGGAGCAATCCCTCTGCCGCCGTGGCTCCACCCATGCATCTTCCAGGAGGGAAGCCTCCTTGATGACAAACTCGAAAAGCCTTGGTTGGCCGATGCAAACTGCACTCATAGGTGCGGAGAGCTATTACACAAAGCCAGCCCAGGCCGGCCCTTTCCAACTAGCAGCCTCGTGTTTTCCATAACCTTCAACCACCGATCAGCCTTCAATTAAGAGGAATGGGCTGCGTAGCCTCACAGTGCATTACCGATTTGCTTCCTTTGCGCTCACATCGGTGCGAGCCAGCAGCTAGCAGCCAGCAGTACCGAGACGATCAAGACACACTACTCTCAGACCTTCTGGTATCGTGAGAAAGCAAAACTGGCTTCTGAGCCGCCGCTTCTTGGCTGTTTGTAGGCTCACGGGAGCACACTCCCAGTAAAAGGCCGCCCAGGGAGACATCTGAGCAAAAAAAGCACCAGGACTCAATATTGTTCCACAGATCCTGCACTGCCACTGCTCCCAAAATCTCACCACACAGCCTTGAGCTCGTCCGCGAGCTTATGGCGGAACCTTGGCAAAGCCACAACTCCGAGATTGGAGACTCTGACCGAACAGCTAAACGCCAGCGCTGAATAGCATGATCGGCCCTAAATAGGTACAGTACCCTCAAGTCCAAGAACCCTACCCTGAGCGTGCGGCAGCGGCTCCTCCTCCATCAGGGTCAAGGCATCCGCCCACGTGAGATTCCTTAGCTGGCAGTGACCGACAAGTAGCCCTGCTTCAGAAAAGCTTCAGCATGCTTGGGCCTCGGAGCTCAAAGGATCTCAAGTTTAAAGACGCATTGCTTCGTGCCACTCGATCATGCGTCCTCCCGTCCTCCCCCTGATGGCAGCAAAGCATCCTGCTTTGCCACTTGAACGACACGTGCATGGTGGTTGGATCGAGCCTGGGATCGTGCTCGAAGGCGACTGGATTATGAAGGCTTGGGACGAGTGAGGAGCTTCAACGGCTCGAGTATACTCTGCACATGGTAACCCGATTGTGGAAGGCCTCCCAGTGGTGTGGTGGCTCATTTTACAACCGCGCAGTTCTGTGACAAATCCAGACGCATGGGGAGCTGGCATCTGTGTTCTCTCAATGCAAGCTGCCACGAATGTTCAGCCACCAGGTCGAAGGACTCCTGCGTCCACAGGTCGCTACAAAGATCAAGCAGGAAAGAACAGGTTTCAGCGCTTGGCATATTCGGCATCTAAATTTAGGACCATTTCCCTGGAGATCGGTGGGCTGCTCGTGCTAGCTATGTAGCCAGATGCGTACCCTCGGGCTTTGCAACATGAGAAGCCGGACCCAGATGGTGCAGAGCCGGGAATGCTGTTGGCGGAGGACGTCACTCCATGCCTGGAACCCCACTGTGCCACAACAATGCTCTCGTGCAGTAGCAAGCTTCTCGTTTTGCTGGATGCAGGAAGCTCCTCACCGGTGGCATCCATGGTGTTCAAGACGCATAGAATGCCTTGCAGGCTTTTGGCATTGGACAGAAAAAAAGCCTCAGACCCGGTCGTCTACCCAATACATCACTGAGGCACAGAGACAGAGCGCTCTGCCCCGGATTGGCATGGGTTAGACGAAGCAGGCAATCGAGGGAAGCAGAAGACTTGTGGCGTAGCTTTAGATGACGCGCTCTGGTAGTGCAACAACGGAACCATGACTTGGGCCGCAAACGCTGCAGCAGGGCGCACTTGAACTTGCACATTCTCGCATGAAAGCCCATGACGATGGAGAGGGATCGACCGATGCCTGCAGCATGCGGATGACGAGCCTTGGAGATGCTGCAAACAAACAAACACAGAGAGAGAGAGACAGAGAGAGAGAGAGAGAGACAGAGAGAGCACACACACACACACTCTCTCTCTCTCTCTCTCTCTCTCTCTCTCTCTCAAATATGCGGATATCGTCTGGAAGCGACGCGGTGCATAGCAGGGGGAACTACATGATACAAAGCATGCAAGACCGGGTTGATGCTGCTGCAAGACTGTGCATCATGCGCTACTGTTCACACACGGGACGGTGGGAACCACCCTCTCAGCTGGCAGCTCAATCTCCTCAAAGTCGGCATCGTGCAAGTCGTAGACGATTACCTTATCCCCGGTCCCCTTGCAGCCCAGCAGGAACCCACAAATTCAAGGTCATCTAACGAAGGATATGCAAGCATGCCAGGCGCCCGCCGGCAACTCATTCTGGCAGTCTAAACAGGCCAGGTCGACTCTGCAGTTCACGATCCCCTGCGCGGCAACACCCAACAATGATCCATCCGAACATGTCGCAACTAGAAGAACGGAACGCTCCCAAATAGTAGCAATACGAAGGCGGTGACAAGGCAACTCAAGGCACTGCATCTTGACACAAGCAAAGTTTAAGCACTGCTCAGAGGCAGTCGCAGGCCTACGCCTGTGAGCCAAGAATTCCCACACTGAACCTCGAAAGTCTTCGCCCTCAAAGCCCCATGGAGGCCTTTAGGAAGCGTCGGACATCCACACGAGGCCTGGTGAGTAATACAAGGAGGCAGGGGCGAGTCAGAAAATCGCTATCAAGCTTGCGCTCGTTCGATGTCGTTGCATGTGGCCCCTTATCCTTGAAGCTGTTGGCTCCCTGTGCCGAAGATGGTGTGCCAATCTCCTTCAACGACTCTGACACAGATTCCTCCAGTCACGTCTCCAGAGTGACTGCTTCACTCTTCACGCAAGCAAGTTGCGGCATGTCCGGTGCTTTTGTAAGAGCGGAGCGTCTATGTCTCCTTGTTTGCAGGCAGGGCTGCTACTGAGAAGATTGTAAACTCCCGCGCGGGCACCTTAGGTCTCGGAACCCTCGCTCATGGGACGGCATGCGAGTCTTCGTCGGATGCAGCGAGTCTCAGATAGGCTGAAGTCTTATGACGTCTGAGCTGTGCTTCCGTTGTTTGTATTGCAGGATGTCCTTCAAACCGACTCTCTGCCTTGTGTGATACCACAGGATTACCTTAACATCAACTAGAGCATCGACCAAGAATCGACTGTGTATTGAAAATCGGCCTAGCTACAAACTGCCCCGAGAGGCTATGCCTCAACTCGCCAGGAGCGAAGAATGACAAGAGACATGTTGCACGTCCAGAGCCTGAAGGGTTCTGGCTCAGGGCAAGGCCTTGATTCAAGGCCTTGATTCTCACTTCTCTCCTGGCTTGCTGCACGCCGCTGCCTTGATCCGTCCATTTGGGCATGACTAAGACACAGACATACGCAGATACACAACTGTTACTGAGACTGATACACACTGCGATGTGCAAGACCAAGGTCACGCTGGTCTGCCCAAATGATGTGGCTAGCACCCGGTGCAGATCAGCTGCAAGAGCTGGCTAGCTGATGGACTGAATGAGGTGAGACCAGAGCGTACCACATGGCCCGCCACAGCAGATGGGCTTGCAAAGCTCCGCGACCTTTGTCAGCACAGCACTGAAACTGACCTCCTCCGGCGCGGCGGAACTTTTCCTGGGCGACAGGGAACGTACTCTCTTCACTCCTGTTGCGGAGCAGTCTGTGCTGCTCTGTGGAACTTTCTGTTGGCAAAGTTCTTGCAGTGGTGGCTTTACCCAAGAGGGATTGGAACCTTGAAAGTGATCTTCCGGTGCAGACAGTGGGAAAGTCACCTTCCCCTTATGTACATCAGACCGGTCGCTTTACGATGACGGAGCTTCGCCTGCGCTCTCGCACAGAGATTCTCCTCAGGATCACCGGCAACTCGCATGTAATGCATATCGGCCACACTACACGCAACCTACACAGATGCATGTAAATCAGCACTCTCGATCTGCAGCATGCAGGCCCAAATCTGCTTTCGTGTTGTGGATGATAACAGAAGCAGGGTCAGGCAACAGAAAAGCGAACCTTGTAAGGTCAACGAGTCGAGTGCTAGCGGACGTGGCCTTTAGCTGTGGGTGGACTGCCGAATTATAGTGGAGAAATTAAGGGTAACTTTAACAGAGAAGGAAAGGGTGATAATGACGGGACGCCTCGGCTAATATCAAGGGATCCCTGCTACACTGGAGGCACGGGAGTCTGCTGCTAGCACAGAGCGCTTCTAGCACAGGCTCTCGCACTCTTCGGGAAACAGGTGCAGACCAGGAGCTGCTTCTGACTCGGCCGCCGCAGCTCTCGATCGATGGCAGAGTGCGCTGCCTCTTTCGGGACTCCCGGGGTGCTGTGAGGCAAAAAAAGCCCAAAAAAGCTCAACTCCAAACCCAAACGTGCAGAAACACGAAGTGCACTACTGTATCACGAGATCTTGCGATGGGAATCCAGGTCCCCCTTCAACCAGAGCCTAAATCACTCCTTCGTGGCTCCCCGTCCTGGAGCTGCCTCTCGGTGCTGCGTCGACACTGCAAGTACCTCGAGTGCGGTGTTACGGCGGCGCGAAACTGAAAAAGAGCCCAAGCAAGAGCCTCAGTCAAGGCGTCCCTGCGTGCAGGAAGCCAAGGAGGTGTGATGCGAGAGGGAGAAAGACAGAGAGACAGAGAGAGAGAGAGAGACAGACAGAGAGACAGACAGAGAGAGACAGAGAGAGAGAGAGACAGATAGAGAGACTGGGTGTAAGAAGCACATAGTGACGGCTAGAGCAATGATGACCACACGCGGAGCTTTTCGGATTTATGCCCGCTGATAAGGATCCAGGAGCCTCCCTATGCTTCTTTATGATGAAAGGAGATTCTCGATGAGAGAAGAGTTCCGCTTTCTCACTGAGAGAAGAACAACGAGTACTCAGAAGCAAAAGGGCTTTCTGGATGCTCCTGTAGTTGACGAGGCTCCCTGGTTCCTTTGCACTGTTGAAAAACAGCCAGCAGACTCGCAACACGGCATCAGTTTTGAATCCGTTTCAGGTTTCAGCTGGCTTTACCACAAAAGGGTGAGTGTGTGTGTGTGTGTGTGTGTGTGACATGCAACAAACCGCATAAATATCGAAGCCTTCCTTTATGAAGAGAAAGCAGAAGACCGTAAAGGAACAGTCGACAAGAAGGCGGACGTGCATCCGTGACCAGTGTCGGTGTCTGTGACAATTGTCGCGGATGCAACACCGCATCTGATGGCTGCTTCACCCTCATTGTGTCCGATTGTAGACCCAAAGGAAGGCCTTGCCACAAATGAAATTACAGTGTCTCGCTCCCCTCACCCCACCCATCCCCCTCCCCCCCATTGTCAGGACGCCAGCATGTACTCAGGAAATACTATGCTGTTTATGATGACTTGCCTTTCTATTAGTCTATGAACACGGCACTGCCCAGGAACACGAAGAACACTATACTACGAGTACTTCAAAACACAACAAGCGATAAGTTTTGATGTCATGCTGTCCTGGAAGTGGAGGATAATTCGGATAGCGACATGCAGGTTCATTCGCAATGAACGTCACAGCGCTTTTCTGTCGACACACTTGCCGGTATCCCATCTTACGCTCAAGGGAAAGGATTAGGCCAGTCATTCGGGGTGCCATACTGCGCTTGTTCCTAACACCACGCGGAAATCAATCACTGTGTTGGCCATGCTGGAAGGGGCTCGTCATTGGGGGGTACTCGTACAGGCGTATACATATGTGCATACAGGAGCTGCATACAATGGATCGGATAACATTTTTTAATGATGATACTTGGTCTTGTAGATGCGACCAATACTAGTCGAGCTGGATAGCCGAATGCATGGATCGATCCTGCAACTCGCGCCGCACTGCACACACAAGTCTCATTGCAAATCTTTTGCAACTCTCAAGTGTCTGGGGCTAGCTCTGCACGAACTCGTTCATCGAGATGTAGCCATCCTTGTCCGTGTCCTTGATTGAGGAGGTTCAAACCCATGAGAAAAGCCTGGCACTCGAAACAGGGCCCTATCCACATCCGTTCGAGTCATCGAAGCAGCGAAGACGTTGCAAGCAAACAAAATCATAGCCCAAAGCCCTCAAAATGAGGCTCCTCACGCCGAGCTTCCGCCTCCCGCATCACCTGCTTCAGCTCCGACTCCGACAGGGAATCCCCCAGCAACATCTTCAGCCTGGTCGCAAGGGAGAAGAGCTCAAGAAAGAGGGCCTACCCCCCCCCAACCCCAACGCTTGGCATAGTCTCCTTCCTCCCACCCCTGGGGCGTGTCTTGGGGGATAACATTGAGGCTCGAGGTTCAGTGAACCGAGAAACGGGATCACATCGAGATGAATGTATATAAATGCTTATGGCCTATGGACGTACGTATGTGTACGTGTACGTGTACGTGAACGTGCATGTGTAGGTGTATGTGTAGCATGTATGAGTGTATGTATGTATGTATGTATGTATGTATGTATGTATGTACGCACTTATGGCGGAATCTATGTCTGTATGTATGTCTGTATCTCCGTATGTCTGTATATATATATATATATATATATATATATATATACATATATACATATATATATATATATATATATATATATATACATATTCTTCTGTATATACATATGTATGTATAGTATTTATACATACCTATACACATAAACATCTGTTTGTATGCGTATGCATATATGTACATAAACATATACATACATGCATACATACATACATACACGCATGCATGCATGCATGCATGCAGGCATGCATACATACATACCACACTGCACTTCTGTTCTGACGAACTGTCCAAGGCCCCCGGCTTCGGGAGCGTGATGTAGCCAGAGTTGTCGGTGTCGAACCGCGCAAAGGCATCATGCAGAAGATCATCGTGGATGGAGATGCCTGCCAGTAGACTCGGACAGGCGCGTTTGAGGCTGCGCCAAATAATTGTAATTCCTGGTTGATTCCTGCATGTCGCAGACAGACCTCCCTCAATGTACACTCCCAGCGATCCCAGCTTCAGGGTAACCCCCCAGAAGTGCCCTGGGCGCATTCCGAAGCGGACATGACCCCGCTCGCTTCTATGGCTACCAGGGAGAGACCTGGCACCGATTGCAGTTGTTTTCTGTTGCTTTTATTTGCCGCTTGCATTGCTTTTTCGATGCAGGGTGGGATTTTAACCTACTGACAAGCGGTGACATCACCAGATCGCAGCCGGCAGCTTCGGCACCGAAGTACTACACGGTTACACGGTACAGCAGCTTCCGGCAACCGGGTGGGATGTTCATATGTGATTTCGGCCCAGGTGCGCTTTGACATCATCGCGGCCAGGAAATCTGAGTAGTTAATCACCTCGTCTCCTCAGCTCAGCATGCGACAATGTTTGGGAATTCACCCGCAGGAGGAAGCTGAAATGCCTGAGAACTCCTGAGCACTGGTCTAGACAATGGGGACTGAAGCGACTGGAATGTCCTGACGGCAGCTGAGACTGCAAGACGGCTGTGCAAAGGCACCTGTTACAAAACAAGTCCGTCGTATCATCTCACATCTGCCACAGAGGAAGGAGAAGCCATCTACGTACCCAAAAAAGCTACAGAGAGTTCACAGCTGTGTCTCTGCAAGATTCGGGTCCCCTTGACACGGTACCGGGACCGCTCCAAAATTGGAGTGTTGAAAAGCCACTGCAGGAAGCTGCATGCATGCTGTCCTGGCTACCGCTGCATCCTCAATGTGGAATTTCTCCTCAGTGAATCACACCAGCAATCTGCATGCATGGGATGCATCAGTAAGGGCTTTTTTGGGTAAGCGGGAAGCACCGACCCGTGAAGTGAAAAACCGAGGCTACATTCCAAAATCTATCCCCCCATTCCCAAGCAAACAAGCAAAGCCCCCGGATCCCCCCAAAACTAGTCCTCGAGGACACTGCGAAGCTCGCTGAGGGTAATCGTGCCACTGTGATCCTACCGTCTGGAGCTTTGCGAGTCGTTTTAGCTTGCAAGGTGGAGTCGTTCGTCTCGGGGCGCTTCGAACCTAAAAGCATCCTGATGATCCCGGGATTGAGGACGTGGCTGGGGCATGAAGGGTGTCAACAGCTCGAGGTTACCTCTGAGAACCGGGATCCCAACCACAGGCCTTGTCGATCTCCAGAAAGGCTTTGTGAACCTCGGCACGCTCCTGATCGACATTCGCTGGTGTTCTTGATCGTGATTGCGTGTCGTGTCACTTGAGACATTGCCCAGAGCTCGTGGCACATCGATGACAGCAGACGGTGTCGACCGCTTGTCGGAAGGACTTGCTACTGGTCTTGCAGGTCGGTTCCTCGTTGGAGAGGGAAATAGCCATGACCAGCAAACAAGCACCTCAGTCACTTCAAGCTACTGTGCGGCCTGGAGAGTACTTCGAGACTCAGCGTCTTCAGCGGAGCCAGCTTCTGAGGATTCTTGCTGAACTCTTGCTGTCTGTCTGTCTGTAGACTAAAGTGGTTCCATTGCCCAGTGCATGAACATGCAGTGCCACCCTCTGAACTTCACCCGGCAGCCCACTCTGCAGACTCATCTCAGGCGAGCTTCGGCGAAAGGCCGATGCTTCAGAGAAAGAGCAAAGTGCGTCGACGATGTCCTGGCGTCCGAACTCGTACTGTCGAAACCACTCCGAGAACTGCCGCAGTGTCGCAGGAGTGCCACCTACTTCGGTCCTTGCTGACATAGCTGCGAGCCACGGACTCGCGCTTGGAAATCCAGGGATGCCTCAAACAGAGGTCCCAGAGGTCCCAGTCCCAGGCCCTGAGACGACACCACGGGGCCCGGACTGAAGGGCCAGGTCGGCATCGGGTCTTCGTCGAGCCTCGACCTTAGCTTCTTGAAATCCTCCATGTCCAGCTTTCTCCACCCCGAACTTCTGCTGACTTCAACTTCTTGCCGCCAAGAAAGCCGTCAGCAGCTTGCAAACGAAGTCCTGACAACTATCAAGGCTCCAAGTGTTCTCAGTCCTCTCACCTGCGAGCTGTCCTTGGCAGAGGGCGAGGCATTTTTCCAGGCATCACGTTCCGTCGCAAACCTGCCCATCTGTATGGACCCCACGGTGACGTTGGGTTGATCCGATGGTGAGTTAAGAGCAACCAGGCAAGTACCCACCTTCCCGCAGCGATCCGCTGCAGCATGGCATTGTCGCCATCTCTCCCGGAGAAAGGGAAGCTTCCCACGAGCAACGTGTAGGCAATGACCTCAGGCTTCGGAGTTCAACCGCCAATCACCATACCAACTCCAAATGTCACACGAGGGAGACGGCATGTTATGGACAACTCTCACCGTCTCGTGAAAGCTTCTGGGCGCAAGGCACCGAGGCTCCACAGGTCACATTTTGACGTGTAGTTGCGGTGCAGCACCTCCATGAGCGTGGTGTAATTCCCCAGGTTCTTCATGCCAGTTGGGTTGTCCACAAAATTACCCTCACCTAGTTACCCAGCGAAAAAGCTGTTCAGCAACATCTCAACTCGAGCACAAGCGCGACCGTTCTGTCAGACTTCTTGATGTGTAACTACATAACCACGGACTGTCTGCAATGCTTTCTTCAGGGAGCACAGCTGCGACAGAGTTTCGGCATGACCTCGCGCTGAACTCACAGCTTTGCCCGACTGCACGTGAGTTTTGCACTTTCTGGCTGCCGCTGCAGAAAGACTTCGAGCTTCCAGATGTAACGAATAGCTCCAGCGCAGCAAGATTTAAGGCTTGCAGAGGTTTTGGAAGGCTTCTCCAAAGCCCCAGGTTTCGTTTTGGCTTCAGAAGCAGACTGGGTTCAGTCGCAAGCTTCGGCTTCGGCCGTGCCACTTTTAGGGCTTGGGACTTGGGGTTGCAGGATGTTGTGGGCTTCAGGTCACCTCGGCACAGGTCGAAAGCTGCCACGGACCTAAAGTAAGCCTAGCCCGCAACGCCTCGGGCGCCATGTAGTCCAGCGTGCCAACCTCGGCCGAGGAACTTAGACCCTCGAGGCTCATCGAGGCTCTCAACCCGCGGAAGTTGGCATTGCGCAAGACTCCGAACAGAGAAGCAGCATTGATGAGAGCGAAACTTAAAGCCACGAGCTGCCAACATCCGCAGAGTGGCCCGCATTTCCATGCTCTTGTCCGGCCGCCAAAATTTTGAGAGGCCGAAGTCAATGAGCTTCAAGTCTTGGCCTGAATCATAGTCCGGAAGGCAAGCAAACAGCACGGTCTTTGCCTGCTCATGTGTATCTGCTAATACGAACAGTACATCCACAGATATTACTTGTCAACCTACCATTGAAGGCTGCATGTGCGCCCGTGGTGCTGCAAACTTTTGTGTTTTCAGCATAGGTTCCCGCCACTGCATTGTTGGTAGGACTTCGGGTCTTCCATACTGAAATGCAGCCGGCATACCGCCTTTCTTCTCGTACAGCCAGTTCTCCAGCTTCACATCCCGGTGCACGATGCCAAGACCTCGTCTCTTCCAATCCAAGAGCTCCAAACAAAATCTGCCGTCGGACGAGCAACCAAGAGAGCTCCCCAACCTTAGACTGTTGCCGATCTGCACGAAAAATTGCCCGTTCGCCCCAGATCCTGAATTATGGTGCTGTACGGACTGGGCTCCGGGCCATGCAGATATCCTGGTCAAGGCACAAAGCACCGATCAGAAAAAAGCTTGTGGACGAAGAATATCGAGCCACCGCATGGATAGGAAGACTGCGAAGAACTACTTTGGGACCACGCTTGCTGAATTGCGCACGCAACTGTGGAACCCTTTGACGACAACGCGAACTACTCTACTCACAAAACTGTTCGCTCGACAGTTCTTGTCCAGTGCCCTGCAACAAAGCATGTAAGGGTTCAACTTTCACTGCCAAGAAGCTGATGGCGAGCAGCATTTGCCAAATCGCTTCCGCAGCATCGCGCTCGGTGAAATGGCCTCCCCAGACCACACCGAAGAGGGCGGCTACTTGAAGTTAAGCCCTCATTTTATGAGTCACTTCGTGCCTGCGGCGAGTATTCGGTCGAAAAGCTCTCCTGTAGTTTGCAGATCTGATGCCACACACCTACCGCAACGTCTGCAGCTTTCGTCCTCCTTCCAGGAGCTCCATGACAAGCGTGAGTGAGGCCTTCGGAAGCGAGGGTGGGCATGCTCCAGCGCACACAGGTGGAGCAGATCGGGTCCTTCGTCTCGTAGGCATCCACCATGCGAGCCAGGTTTGGATGATCAACGGTAAGAAGAATCTCGACTTCAGTCTCGATCTCTTTGCCTTGCTTCACAGCCCTTCAGCGCCGCATATACATGCTAGCCGCTTGACTTCTAAGCTATGAAGTCTGGGCCCAATCCAAAGGCAGGGGATGGACTGAGACTTCGGCACTTGAGCTCAGAGATGCCAGCTAGACGATATGTCCTCAGCAGCGCAGAACATCGCGCTGAAAACAGAATCGGCCAAGCAAGAAGCAGCTCAACCCTCCAAGCCCCAGGCTTGGCTGCAAAAGCTCGATTGTTGTGACGGCTGCGCACAAGCCAAACCTGCCACTCGAATCTCCATAACAGGTACTGCTGAAGATAAAACTTGTCCACCTAAGCTGCTGACAAATCTTTATGACAGTCAGGTATCGCAGGGCGAACTCTGGTGTGCAGATCACGAGAGCAACTAGTAACTAGATACTCCCGACTACATTGCCCCAGAGATCGACATCCACCAGGCACAGCGCACTCATGGGCTGCCCTTGCTGCAACCAGAAGCCGAACAGAAACCGCCATCCTGGCGCCTCAAAGCCTAATCATGCGCAATCAATCTGTGAAGAAGCAAACATCTGTCAGCTATGACCTGGCCATTTGCGCCACTTCCGAGCACGTGGCCCTTGTCCACCTAGCAGAGACGAAGCTGCAAGTGCCAGTTGCGACATGAGGGATGAGATCTTCGAGTGTCGCACAAATTTCAGAATCAAGTCGAGGACGACGACGACAGAAGGGTGTTGCACCGGCTTTGCATTCCCATGCCAGGCAACCGCAACACTTTCAGCGAAGCTTGGAACCACCACCCTTTACGTAACGCCGGTCCCCAAGACGGATGCGCTAAAGAATAGGAACCAACCTTCTATCAGCCTTGCGATACGCGTTGAGAACAAGCATACGCGTCGAGCACAAGCATACGCGTCGAGAACAAGCGGATTTGGACAAGAACACCGTAACGCTGGGGCATCGATGCTCCCTGCAATGGAACCAGCCATGAAGAAATATCGCCAGGAGGCCGTGTAGTCCTGCTCCAGCCTTCGCTCCTGTGTGCTGAACATGCCACTTGCACGGAGCTGCTTTAACTCTTGCGTTGTCAGCTGCGCCACACTTCTCCATAAGTCAGGTTACTCAAGCTTGTTCTTTGCTCTTCCTGGATTCCCAGCACCCTCCCTCGCGGCCCCCGACACAAAAAACGGAACCCCAAACCAACCCTGAGCTGTGCGGTCCTGGAACTTGTGATAGCGCCCTCGCGAACGCACGCGGCCGACCAGCATTTCTGCCCGATCTGACGCACCCTGGATGTCTACCTGACGTCATGAAGTCCCGACCTACGCGCCGATTCCATAAGACCTGCTATGCTGCTGACAGGCAGCTTTCAGGCTAACATGAGCGGACATCAGACAGAAAAATGAGCTCCTCAAAAGAGGAAGTGCTATGAGGCATTCCGGTTGATAAGCAGCAACCGAGCAACCATCTCAGGGGTCAGGGGGACGGCCAGGCGATTTGGCGATTTGGGCGACGCCATGGCTCTGGAACTGGATGGCTATAAACAAGGCACTTTAAAGCTTGATACATGGCTTCAGTGCTTCCGGCGCGATTGCGGTCAGCTGCACTAGATTCTGGGTGCTGCACAGGATCCCAGCACCTAGCGGCTTTCAAGACCTTTTGATGTTACAAATGCTGAGGCTTTAGGTGATCCTGATCTGCGTGACATGCTGACATGCTTAAGCCTGCAGTGCAAGCATCGATGAAGGCTCGATGGAGGCTTAGTGAGAGCTGCCCGAAGACCTTCACCATGTCACCGCTGCATGTTGAACCAATACAATGATCTCAATCTCGCACCACTGTGGGACTGTAGGGGCCACACACAAGTCTCCTCACTGACGGAGGAATAAGTTCATCTCGACCTGTCTTCTTCGTGCCGACCTCGTTGCTGTCGTTATGGCTAGAACCAAAGGCTGGGAGCAGCTACTCCTCGATTCGGACAGAGGACTGGTAACCCGGTCATTAAGGGGATTCCAGTTCAACTCCAACTAGCAATGATGGATGGGACCGGAACGAAAGGTGGGAAAGCGAAAATTGAATAGATAAACATCTCCGGGTGAGAAGGTGAGGAATCAGGCCCAGGGAACCCACAGCATGAGGTGAAGCAGCAAAACGCTGAGTCATTCCACCAAACACCACACTTTCCAATTCCGAGCAGTTCTTACGAAGCTGTCTTACAGTCGTTGCTTCAGCAGGGCTCCTGTCCTCATGCACGGAAGCCACTACAGAGAACGAACACACAAGGCTCTACCAAAGTGTCTAACGAAGTCTTGGTACGGCCAACCTGAGGTCCTGGCTATGTCCGATGTAAGCTTGGCCAAGTCGGCGCAAAGAGCACCTGCTTGATGCGAGGGGTCGGGGACTGGCGTTTCCAGGACCTTACCCCCGTCCCAACACTGGCGGATCAAAACCAAACTACAAACACCATGGAGCACCAATTGCCTTCCTCCAGCGACAGGAGTGAAGCTACAACAGCAAGCACACTCGAGAAACACGACAGTATCAGCATCATGCTGGCACTACATACCGTCAACATCACTCCCTTCAAGGCACTTTGCACACTGCCCATGATCTCTGTGAACCTGCCTCTTTCTCCGTGACAAGAATGCAGCTACTCAGCCCAGCACCAGCGAGGAATCCGTCGACGTTGTTCACGAAGATTCGCATGCTCGAAGAACGGAAAGACTATACTGACGTTAGAATCATGAAATCCGGCTCTGGCTTGAGAGGTCTCGAGGGGCTCGCGAGGGTAGCCTCCAGAGGCTCGTTCTTGGAGCTGCAGTTACAAACTCGCCAAACAGCTCTCCCTCAGAGCCGGAGCGCCGGCAAAAGACACGACAGATGCCTGTCTCTACAGTATTCTTACGATTCTTACTAGCATCATTATTATCAGTCTTTGTCTTATCCGTATCGCTATTCTTACTCGGACTATTATCAGTATTGGTATTCAAGCCCAATCCCAAGAGTCCTATAGTATAATATGATGCTATGGTGCTACGTCTCTTGTGCAATACAACGCCCCCTCCAGAGTCCGGAGGTGGCTTCTAACCGAGATCATCCTTGCAGCCCTCTCCCGAGTCAGAGCGAAAGACGCGCATGGAAGAAGACCTCAAACCCGTATACCGAATAAAACTGCTTCCAAGCCAACTATCTGAATCCTAAACCCGAAAAAACTAAACCCTAAACCCCATCGTAAACCCTAAACTCTACAGGCTGCTTTCGGCCCTCTAACAATAACAAAACCGTAAACCCCATTATAACCCTGAACCCTATCGTAAACCCCAAAACTACCCTAAACCCACTACAAGCGTCAAACCCTCTTGCGAACCCTACCATAAGCATTGTAAGCCGGAATGCTCATCATAAATCCTGAAATGGTATGAACCTTAAACGCCAGTGTAAGCCCTTTAAGTGCGCAATAAACTCTACTGCAAACACATACCCTGTGGCAAACCCTCATAAACCTCAAACAGGCCCTAAAGTATTGCAAAACCTAAACCCGAATAGAATATGCTCTAAACCCTATCGTAAGCCCTCAACACCGCTTTTGAAACCCAACCCTATACCCGCAAACCCCAAAGCAAACCCTAGCATGAATCAACCCTGTTCTAAACCCGAAACCCTATTATAAAGCCTAAACCGTGTTGCAAAGCCTACCATAAACGCTACACTCTATCGTAAACCCTGAATCCTATCAGAAATCCTGAAGCAAATTCCGAAGCCAAACTGCAAACCATGAGTCCTACAATACACCTTAAACCCGAATTATTCTATGCAAAGCCTACCGTAAACCCTAAACTCCATGGTGCTTCCTATTCCAAACCCAAACCCCATTACACGTCCCAGAAAAACCTTTACCCTATCATAAGCCCTATGTAACCCTATACCCTACTCTAAACCCTAAACCTCACTGCACCACGAACCCGAAACACGATCACAAACGCACAACCTATCATAAATCCTGAAACAAACCAGAAACCATATCATGAACATTTAACCTTTCTGTACACCCAGAAATAAACTTTGAACTACTCTAAATCCTAAACCCCAAGCCCCTGTCGCAAACACCTTAAGTCATTTCTAAACCCTAAAGCCTAGCATAAACCCTAAACCCTAGTCTCAACCCTAGACTAAACCCTCTGTTGCAACAAAATCACCCTAAACCCCAAAAGAGCTCCTGACCAGCTCCGGGGCATCCGCCACGGCCTGGCACAGGACCTCACCGGGGAGCTCGCGCCCCGCCTGGGAAGTCCGGGAGCCACGTTTGAGGCTCAGGAAAGGGCTCAGGGGGGACTTGGGAGCTTTTGGGGTGTGGATTTTAGGGTGCAGGGCTTAGGGGTTTTGGGGTTTTGTTTTTTGGGTGTAAGTCAGGGTAGGGTGGTTTAGGATGTGCTTTGTGTTTCGGGCCCCTGTCCAACTGCACGAGGTTTCAGTTTAGGGTTTAAGAATCTAGACTTGGGGTTTTGGGTGGGTGGGATGTCTAGCAATGTGTCGTCACAAGCTCAAGAGGTCAGAGCCCGAAACAGGCATCCACCCTGAGGCAAGCTTGCAAATTCTGCAATCCGGCAATACCGTCCCACCTCAAGCATCTTGTTGAGACTTTGCATCAACGCAGCTGTGTCCAAAGCGCCTGATGCACTGAGCAGACTCAAGATCTTGGCTTCGGAAGAATGGAAGATCCGGGCACCAGGACCAGTACCTCAACATATCCGAGCACCCGATTCTGATTGCGATAAGTTGACAGTCCCCTATACACCAGTGGCAGCTCTGACCTCAACAATCCCCAACAGCTGGGTGACGGAAAAGCCCGCCAGACTTCTAGCACCTGGCTGAGACGCGTAAGTGTAAGACCTATCCACGACGTGCCGAAGTCACGTTCGAGACACTATATTGACCACCTTCATGGCACACATGCATGAAACTGAAGAAACTGAAGAAGCCTAGGCTTCCAAAAAGATCCGAAGAGGTACTGGGAACATTTGTATTTGAAGCTTCAATAAAGAGGCCCACCCCTTTCCTGCTAAACCCTAAACCCCAAAACCCCCTTAATTTTCTGCCCAAACGTCGCCTGTCGCACCAAGATGCACACCTTTGAGCTCAGGCAGCCTCGCAGAACAGAAAAAGCAGTCCATGCACCGCCTCTAAGTTACATTCTAGTCTATCCCAGTATACATACTCTTGTATACTGTGGTAGATTATAGTCTATAGTCTAGTATGGTATACTCTAGTAGATTATGATAGATTATAGTAGTTTCTAAGAACACGTGCACATACATAGACGAAGGAAGTATGTCAACTGCGTACCCCCTTTAAGACCCGTGCCCAAGCCTCTGCTCCAGTGAATTAGGGTGTCACATCAGTGCAAGGACAATTGAAGACTTCCATAAGATTGCACATTGCAGTCCGTGCTTCGAAGTTAGAGCCCTGAATTCTGAAATACTGCTGGGTCCGTCTGCCACTACCACTGCGCCCTGCCTTGCCGGCACCAGCTTGGCCAAAACCTGCCAGAAAAGCATGACATGCAAAGCAAATGAGAAGACGTGGGTGGCTGGCCGCTACCAGCCGCCACTCGCCTGGTCCAGCGTGCCGGTCAGCAGAGCCTTCTGCAACGCTGTCTTGCAGCTGGCCCTGAAGATGGAGACGGCCACGCGGCACCGAAACGAAACTGGTCCAAAGGGAAGTTCCGTCAGTTCTTCGACTCTGGTGAACCCTGGTGAACTGCCTGTCCGGCACGATTCCCAGGTGCAATCGAGTTTTTATCCCGGGCAAGAACATGAGGAACACGGATCCTCCCAGCTGCCCCGCCCAAAGTGGAGACATTGGCAGGCTGTGCTGCAAGGCTCTGCGAGGCTCCGACCACGCGGCGCAGCTTGCAGCAGTCAGCTGTTTCTCTGGCGCTGGGGCCTCTGCCGCATCTTTGCCTCGGGTCGTAGTCCCACAGTCACAGATCTCCCAGCATTAAGCTCTGCCATCAAAACACAAACATCTGTCCTCCGAAGCTCGACTTTGCTCTGCAGGCTCAATGCCGAGGCCCGCTCCGCGAAAGGCGCGCCTCGCGATGTGGAGCAGGGCTTCCGGGTCTTGGGTCGGCTTTTGCTCGGATGCAGCTCAACAGCCTCGAAGATTTTTGAATCCAAAAGTCCAAACCCAGTGGGTCACATTATACAGAAAGGATCTTCAATCATATATATGTATATCAATATATATATATATATATATATATATATAT